CTAACACGCAATATATCACAACGTTGCATGAGATTGCATTGATAGTGTGAATGTTTATGAAGCATTCACTCTATTGTGATCCATTTTTCTTCCGTACAGTTTTCAGCATCTTTCTCGTTCAACAATTTTTGTGCGATTTCAGCAAATCAAGTATCAAAACGTTCAGCTCTTTCTGGACAATCCTGCTATGACTTTTGGTATTGGAGAAACTTTAGCTTTTTGAAATATTTAGCCTTTTCTGCCATTTTTTTCTCATAGAAAATGAACTGAGCTCATTCAGCTTCTTTCAGCTTCCTTCTGCAAATTTGAACATTTCCAGCTATTTTCGGTTTATTTCAGCTGTTTTGTGCTCCGTTCAGATTCTTTCTGCTAACCACAACATTTTTGTGCTTCTTCTAACTTCTTTCTGCTTGTTATGCTCCTTTCAGCTTATTTCTGCAAGTTACAGCTATTCCCACTACTATTTAGCTGTTTTATAGCTAATTTAAACTTTTAGCACTAAATTAAACATCTTCAGCCTAATTCAGCAAAATGTGGTCTCTAATTTCAACTTCTTTTTGCTTTTTAACTACTTTTCAGCTGTTTTTCACTAATTTCAGTTTTGTTTTGTAGACAATTTCCTTTTTTTTGTGCTCATTTCTGCTTCTTTAAGCCTAATTAGGCAAACATGTTATTTCTGCCTTTTTATGCTAATTTAATCTTGTTCTACATTTTCAGCTACTTTTTTAGCATTTTTCAGCTAATTTCAGACATTTTCTGATAAATTCAAAATTTTTGTGATCATTTCTGCTACTTTCAGGCTTATTAACTTCTTTGTGCTAATTTCAGCTTGTTATACTCGTTTCGGCTTTTGTTCTGCTAGTTCCTGCTCTTTCAGCTACTATATAGCTGTTTTATGCTCATTTTTGCCTTTTCAGCTAATTAGACCTTTAACTCATTTCAGCTATTTTCACTTCATTCTGGTAGTTCAAGCTTCTTTCTGCCTTTTTAGCTACTTTTCAGCTATTTTTGCTCATTTTACCTTTTGTGCAAATTTCCTAATTTTTGTGCTCATTTCTGCTTATTTAAACCTAATTCAGTAAATATGTGTTCTTTCTGCTTTCTTCTGTTCAATGAGGCTAGTTCTTCATTTCAGCTACATTTCAGCATGTTTTTTAGCTAATTGCAGCTGTTTTTCCAGCAAGCTCTTCTACAATAAGCATTCACACTGCATTTTTGTAGGAAATGTAAATTCTCTTGTCATTTTTAAGATTTAACTAATATAACTACAACTCATCATTTCTTAATACAAGATGATCTTAGTCTAAAACACTGGCATGAAAATCAGCGGGTGATAAGCATTCCTTCATGAAATGCTGGCCCATTAATTAAACTTAAAAGTTAAAATAAAATGTTTGCTCCTATTTTTAAGAAAGATGGCTATGGAATATGGCAGTTGTTTAAACGTTATGGTAAATATTTACACACTCATGATTACATTTTATAAAACAGGACACTCCCAACAAGCATGTAGGCTTGAGGGATACCGCAGCCTTCATGCGCACCAAAAGGTCAAGAGGTGAATTGATTTCCATGTACAACAAGAAATTATTCGTTCATTTTCATTGGGTTAAAAATGAAGAGGCCAAGGCCTGAAAATTGAGGTCGCTGATAAATGCTACAAGCAGGAGATTCTGAGGGGAGAAATCAATATGGCAGTTTGTCAACCTGCCTTTCAGAGGGAGCCGAACGCCGAGGCAGAGCTCAGCCTGCCCCGTCAGCAGAGCACATTACCAGAAATCAAAGAGCAGAGACGGCCTGGAGGAAGGGATGTACACGTCTCCCTGCAAAAGCCACATTTTGGTAATTAAAACCTGTTTTATCAGGCCTGTCCTGACACTGATTTTTCTCTAACACTATTGACTATGTGCTGCACGTAGGATGACCCATAATTTAACTTTAAATAAACAAGCTGCTGTTATTTAGACTTGTTTTTGTCAAACAAATCGGTCTCAAACTACCGTAAAGGCCATAGCAATCCTTAAAGGAATGCATATCGTGTCCATGTCAGAGTTGTAGACTAAGATCATGTTCAGATGAAAAGGAATGGAGTTACAGTCATCTGTCAAACCTTGTAGATGTTACACATCATCTCATGCGATACCTCGAGATGTCACGCTCAGACTGTTGTGAATGACTCTCAGCTACTACCACATCAACCTATAGTTCAAAACCTGTAACTCTGACCGTGTTATAGCAGTTCTTGTCTGTGTTGTAGATAAGTGCAGATGTTTTATCTGAAAGTGTCCTGTGGTAGGATGGTGGGGGGGTCTCCTCCAAGAAGAGACATAAACAGGCTGAAGATCATCAGGAGACCTGGCTTAACTGTGAGAGAGGAGCTGGACCCTGTGGAGGCTGCAGTGGAGCAGAGGACACTCTCAACTCATCTTTAACAACACTGTGCATCATCACAAGGCAGAGGAGTACATTCTGTGGTAGACTGATTTCACAGCAACGATCCAACACTAAACAAAAGTACCACATACGACACATTATACACCTGTCAACAAACTATTATTCAACAATACAGCAATTGGTAGCAAAGACCTGGACAAGCAAAGACCTTGTACAAAATGTGACCTTGATTTATGACCTTTAAAGATGCAAATGTGCATTAAAGTATCTTGAGTGGATCAGAAGTTATGGGTGGAACAAGAGAAAGTTTCTGGACGTACGAATGGACAGACATATGGAGGAGGAGGAGGAAGGTGATGTTGGCTGGGACAGGAAACATCTGCACTGGCACATTTGTCTTGTACTATTTGAACTGGCTTTCTGGGGCTGCGGTAGCTTGGTGGTCAGTGCTGCGGTCTTGCAATCCTGAGGTTGCTGGTTTGAGCCCAGGCTGCCTTAGGAAGGGCATCTGGCGTAAAACAAATGGCCAAATTTTTCATGTGTTTGCTTGCTGTGGTGACCCCTGAAGAAGGGAGCAGCTGAAAGAAACTGACTTGTGATCTTCATTATATTTATTCTGCCTTTTAATCTTTACAACCTTTATGGTTAGCTGCTATTGTATGTTTTTTTTTAATGTAGTTTTGGTCTTTGGTGTTTCAGTCCATTCCGTTTTACTGTAGAAGCAGTGGATTTTATTAATTTTCATTTGAATCTTTCAGATCTTATCCAAGTACAAGCTGTTAGCGCTCAGAACGACTCAGCTACAAACACACTACATTTGTATGTGAAATTGGCAGTTATGTCCATTTTTGTGTTTTCAATTTAAGATGGGTAACTAAAGCCCCCAGTATACTCCCATGTACGCGTGTACTGTACGCAGAGGGTTCAGACTTCATACTCCAGCGTCCACCCTGAGCGGCTGCAGAGCAGCTTCACAGACAAGGGGCGTTTACCTTTGGGACAAATTGAGGTCGCCGATTGGTCATTTGCTGACACGCCTATTGGATTGATTGACAGGTTGGAAAAAAATATAAAACGAGCACTGGCAGCCTCAGCAGTGTTCTGTGTTTATATGTTGTTAATAAAAAGATCTAAAAAATGTTTTAAAACAGGGAGCGCTGGTCCTGCAGCCCACACATCAGACCAGCCCACCAGGAAATCTCCTGACCCTCCTGCAGCCACGATGGACCTGAGTTTAATTTGCTCGTGACAAATTCCTTCATTTCTCACCATTTCAGTCATGGCATCAACAGATGAGGAAGAGATCACCTCTTGGAAAAAAAACAAAAGAAAAGGCCAGATCAGGGATGAAGAAGGGGAATTTAATACATTGGTGTCGTATACAAAACAGTCCGTCGCCGGGAGGTTTATTGTGCGACACCGCGTACATGTACGTGGTCGTAAAAATAGAGCTTTGCATGGACATGCCCTGGGGGGTTCGTTCGTACCTCTGCGTATGGATGTACGCGGTAGTATACTGGGGGCTTAACTCACATGAAGACTTGTCAGTTGTTTTTACACCAGGTACCCTTCCTGACACAACCACAGACCACTGAGCTACCACAGCCCTCTGTGTGGAGCAGAGCTGCTATCTAGGGTGCCTGGGGGGCAGATGGTGGGGGTCAAGGGCCTTGCTCAAGGGCACAGAGTGGGGAAAATGAGGGTGGAGGCAGGTGCAGGTGCTTCACCTTACCCACCCACATTTTTGACATTGTCGGTCCAGGAGTCAAACCGGCGACCACAGGCTCTCTCTCTCTAGTCTCTGCGCTGCCACTTTCCCCCTTATAATAAATGGAACCACTATAATATATAATAATAATAATTATTATTATTATTAAAATGATGATCACAGCAAAGCCAGTGCAAAAAAAGTAAGTTTCTTTTGGCTGATGATAATAATATTACTATTAATAACATGAATATTAATAACAACATTATTATTGTTATTATTATTATTATCCCAGGGAAGACCCAGGACACACTGGAGAGACTAGGACTGGGAACGCCTTGGAGTCCTCCCAGAAGAGGTGGACAGAGATGTCTGGGCCTCTGCTCAAGCTGCTGTCCCTGCGACCCGACTTCGAAACAAGCGGAAGATGATGGATGGCTGATTATTATTCATGGTTTGACCAAGGCACTGACAGGAACAATTTCTCTCTGATGTACATTTTTAAAGAGATGATTCTTAGAAACAGGTGTAAACCCTTCCTCTCCCTTAAACACCAATGTCGTAAAATTAATCTGTATAACAGTAAGCATTGTAAAAATTAACTTTCCAAATGTGAGAACAACTTAGCTTTACACACAAACTGCTGCAAACATTAATGACTTGCACAACTGACTGATTAGTTCAACTTCAAATATTTAATAACTTATCACAGTATGGGCACCAGAGACCCTCGCGACATAAAAAGGGAGAAGCGGGTAAAAAAAAATAATCGATGGATGGAACTTATCACAAATTATATTGTGCAGATGGACAAGACCATAACTGACAAATGATGGCACAAATGTAATGTAAATACAGCACAAAATATTGTCTTTGTAGCACATTTAGTCCACTTTTTTTAGTATTGTGCACCTTCTTCTTCCTTGTAGGCAAAATAGACGGTGACAGGTCCAAGACTTGTGTGAACTGTTTCTGCAGCTCCTATCACCATCCAGCAACCGATCCCATAAGCCAAACATGGGACACCTGCAACAACAGCGCACACTGGGATTATTTACTCTCCTCTGTGACAAAATCTGTAATACAACGACAATAAGAACCACTGACCCAGATTAATCACTTTCAGCATGTTGAAAAACTTGTTTTCAAAGTCCAGGTTCTGCGCATGCGCTTTGGTGCAGTGGTACTTCACGAAGGGGAAGCAGCCCGTTCTCAGGATGTGGTAGTTGGTGCCCTGAACGCTCCAGTTAAAGTTTGATAACCCGAACTGGTCGTTGTGGACGGAGCTGTAGCGGACACAGAATGAAGTCCAGGGTGGGAGTTTGCGCTGCAGCAGGTGGCAGGTCAACACCTCCGAGGCTGCTGGCCGCCGAGCCGAGCGGCCGAAGGTGCTCGGAAACAGAGCGACCTTTAAAAACACACCGTGCACCTTCCGCAAAAACTCCTTCATGATTTCTGGAATAATCATCTGAAGTGCACGCAGAACACTCGGGATGAACGCTAACCAGCTGATGTGACTCGTAAACAACAGAGTACTTCAACAAGACTCGATTAACCAAGAAGAAAAGTCCAGGTCCGACAAGAGAACTTACGAATCCTGTTGTCGCTCATGTCCCGCAGCTTCATGTCCGAACGCACACCCGCGATAAACTCTCTTAATTTATCTACAGCCAGCACAAACATATACAAATTAACCAATACATCTATTTTCATAATGTTTCCTAACAGACATTAGAGTTAATACAACAATTTTGTTCAAGCTAACGTGGTACACCATTTAAATATGTCCGGTCAGAAACGCAGAACAGAACATTTGTTCTGCCAATAGATTCGTAGGAGTTTTTTTTAAAGATTTTGTCACTTTATTATTTTTATTAATTAAAAAAATAATAATACACGATGCTGTTTGTGAGACTTTTCAGACCAGGACTTCTTCAGTTACCCTACATGCTGCAAAAATAATAAATAAATAAACAAAAAATATAAAAAGATTTGAGTATCTTTTTTTTTTACTTTGCTCTAAATATGAATAATAAAACACAACAAGATTCAAAAGATGTAATTTATTTGATTAATAACTATAAGCAATATATATGAAAAGATATGTTTATATGAAAATATATGTTTTCTGCTCCTGTTTCCTGGAATATGTTGCAAAGAGATCTAAAGGGAACTTCATCTCTCTAAGTGACTTTAAACATCTGCTAAGTTCATGGCAAAAGCCAACACAGACATGTTCCTGTTTTTAGTATTTTATATCGCTTAATAATGTAACTGTTCTTGTTCATTTTATACTTTGCATATAATTTCTTCCATTTTTATTTTATTTTATATGCTTTTGATAATGATTGTCTACTGTAGTCATCTGTTCTTTGTTAAAAACAGGTCTCTTGTAAATTAATCCTCGAGGTTCAGTGAGACTAACCTGTATAAATAAAGGTTGAATGAATGAAAAAAATAAAACACCAAGAAAATAGTTACACTAAGTCAATTCTGTTTGTGGTGCTGGTGAGAGTCTGAAGTTCAACAAATACCAAAATTTCAGACCCAAATACATTTCTGTCAATTTTCAAGACATTTTTGATTTCTTAGTGCAAACGCTACAGTACAGGTTGAACATAAAAGAGTGGGACGCTGGGGGTGTACTTGCCCTCATTAGCAGCACCTTACAAATTCACATAAATTTACTAAATCGTTTTTTTATTCTCGATATACAGAAAATGTCTTTTGAGAATAAAACTGTAAACAGTAGTTTTTTCTCCTCTATTTTGTACTGAATGTCTAATGTTTTCTCTTATATAGTGCAAAAAAAAAAACAAGTTACTAAACACAAATGTGCATCTATTATTACAACATGCTCATGATAATATATTACAAACTGTATCTACACTAATTTTATATTTGTAGTTTGTAATTTGAAGTTTCCATCTAATGTTGATGTAAAAGCAAACTGACTTTTTGTAAAAACATCTGAGCTCAGTGCCAGTATAGATTTACCCCTCAACACATATTAAGACTTGTAAAAGAAAACAAAATACTTTAAAGATTTATGACTAAGAGTTGTATTCTTTTAGCCTGTATACATCTCAAAGATGCATTTATTAATGTTGGCGTTGGAAATTTATTTGGTGATATTGCACTTCACGGGTGATGCAGCTGTCTCCGCAGCAGGTTTATCCTTCAGTTGATTCTTGTTCCGAAATATAGTCTGCAGCACATCTTCTATGTGCTTTAGGAGCTCCTACAGCAAAACAAAGTGAAAAGGTACAAAAGTAAAACTGTGATATGAAGTTATTGAACATAAATTGATTATAGTTTCTTCAGAAGACATCTTTCAGCTCACTACAGTTTAATAAAATGCACGTTTCATAACACAGACAAGAAGAAACTGGTACTCGTTAGCATGGTACCTTGAAATTGTTTCCTCCCTGCGTTGCAGAGGATGATATTTGCTGATGAATGACTGACAGATTCTGAGCAAAGGTCACCAGAGCTCCCCGGAGATCCTCTGAGATCGTTCTATTAACAACATTCCAAACAAATGAGTTTACTAATGATCCCCTTGTTGCCCGCTAAGAAACAATCACCTTGTTCATTTGATGCTGGTGGGTAAATGAAACTTTCAGCAGATACATTTCCAGTCTATAGGGGGATGAGCACAGCGTGATTTAACTGTTCCAGAGCTGTGTAATCTAAAGGATTTCTGTGATGAATTTGTTAAATAACCCTCTGCTTAACAACTTGTGGAGTTTCTAAAATTTACAAAACCAGAGGTGGCATTTTAATCTTGTAAAGAATGGGTTTTACTTCCAGTGCTGCTAAACTTCTCACCCATCTAATATTCGTCTTTGGGTTTCTAGTAAAACAAAGTTAAATTAAGTGTTTTGAAACTTTAAATTTGATACCAAATGAGTTTACAGTGGCAAGGAAATGGAACTAAGGATCTTAAAGTAAAACAATAATAATAACTTTTGACCTTTAATGTAAATGTCACAAGGTCATGAACAGACTGAAGACACTTGTGACTTATAAAATATAATTCAGGGTTATAACACCTTTTCCAAAATCAAATTAACTTTTTAAGCACACATTTTCACTCAGTGTTCAAACATGCATACATGTTTACATTTTTCTGACCACAATACATGAAATAGATGTAATGAGAAATACTTACATCATACCAAAGCGACATCGCTCACTGCTGTCATAAAAAGCAAAAACAGTGCCTTGCTTCTGCTGAAAGGTGATTCACATGCACAGTTACAAGCACGCAGATTTTAAGGTACAGTAAAAGTTATTTAAGTCATACTTGTTTCTAAATTGACAACATTAATGTCATCCTAAGCATGATTTTTACCTAATACATGTAAGACTTGTTTCTGCAAAGAGTGGCTCATGCACACTTCAAGTCCACAAGGAGACATCTTTGAACGGTGACATTAAAGATAACTACCTGTATGTTTCAAGCAGCTAATTTGATACATGAAAGCAAAGTTCCCATTAAAATAATGTATTTATTGAACTTAATATTGAGGAAGAAATATAATAAAACAGCCATGAAACCTGGAAGTCGTACCTTTTTGTTAAACCCAATGCCGTGTAGCTTGCACATCCTGAAGAACGAGCTGTGGTACAACATCGAAAGGTGAGAATGAAACAGGTGGCTCCCGATGACCGCATAACCACTGAGCACAAGGTGCTGTAAAAAACAGATAAACAGAAGGAAGACATGCTGAATCTATAACACATTTGCAGAGACTAACCTTTCAGCTAATTAAAACCAAAATAGTTAATTCTATGCTCCATTGTCTTTGGGATTAAATCTGAAAAGTTAGGCTGCATACACCCCACACACCCCCACCCCCGCGCACACACACCCTTTAGGTCATTGCTGAGTTTGCATGTGTGATCATTGAACATAATGTGCATTCGGCATGTGTGGTGAACTGCTGGGCCTTTCTTAATTAACTGAAGGGAGGAACAATTAATTCTGCAAAGACACGTCAAACAAAAAAAAATGAACCTGAGCAAAGGCAATACAATTTTGGGACTGCAAATGTTAATAAATTTGACATTGAACTGAGGGTATATATTCTAAACACCATATCTATTGTTTGAATAGAGGGATTCAGATGAGTAGCACTAGATGGGTTGAATAGTTAAAAGTGTCAGGGCTTAAGAGGATAAAAATGTTGCCGATTCTCTTTCCTGTGGGAGATGAAGAGTGCGGGCCTAAGCTGCAGTGAGCTCAGGAGAAAGCCCCATAACTCGCCGTGAAGGCTGTGTGTTTGCACATGTCAGATCCAGGGCCCTTACACAACCATAAAAGTGTCCAGCAGGGACTTAATTGTGTTTGTAATATGCAAGTCCCTAATGATGGCCACTGCCGAAGCCATTAACAACTGCAGTGGCTAAAACTGCTGCAGCGAAGCACCAGGCCAGCAGCTAAATGAATGTTTGATAAAACAACACAAGTCGCAGATTAACAAGCGTAAACGCAGGCCTACTGCTAATAAAAGAACTCTATTGTTTATAGACTGGCACCAGGTTGATGAAGTATTCAGGCATGCATAATGAAAATTGTATGAATTATTAATGTGTTGATTATTTAGACTCATCTATCAAAACGATAATGAATTCTGGACCTGAACGCCAATTGAGTCTAGTGCGTAGTTACAGTTTTTAGTTGTATTTACTAATAACTAATAATAAGAAAAACAATTATTTGTGATTACCATAGTGGTGTAACCATCTTAGACCTAAGTCAGTCAAAATAATTTAAACAGAGTGGTTGCTTTTTTATATTCAGCCAATTCTAATAGAAATCAAAGAAAAATTCAACATCGATGAACAAATATCAATTAAAACCAAGGTTCTGGTTGTATAAAAGAAATATATCAAAACAGTCTTACTTTAGCTGCAGCCTGGTGTTCACAGCATTTCCTTCTGACTGGCATTTGAACTTCTAAACATCCCGTCCGCCAATTCAGCGTTCCTCCGGTCATCATCAGCAGCATCTGGGTCATGGCCAGCTGGTCACTGTAAGCGATGTCCAGATCGATGACCCAAACCTGCCAACAACAAACAATTAACTGGGCGAGAGCAGCGAAAACTTGACACTATTAAATAACCATTTAAAGTTAAAATTTTCACAGAAAAAAAAAGGAAACTGCAGTTGTTAGAACTGGGGTTAGCACATTTTGATCTTTAAATGTCATCGATGCTGAGAGGCAGGTGGATGGAAACGACCATTTGGTGTTTATTGAGGCTATTTTTAGGTGATCCAGTTGTGTTAGTGACACGAGCACAAAGTAAATCCTTCTGTGTGTGTTTGGATTCAGTCTGCCCTGAGGTAGTATGCTTGGTTCAGGTCTGATGAGAAGTAAAGTTCATATATGTATGGTAAATGGCATCATTATAAGTATATTAAGGGGTCAGGTAAGGACGTAGCCTTCCACTTAAACAGGGCTAATTTTGCAGATAATAACCTAATGGCTATGCCCTTTTTCAAAAGTGGCAAATAAATCACCAGTGAAGGAGTTGTTAATAACTAAGTGGCAGTCGGCTGCCTCCTTTAGCTATTCCTATTTGTCAAAGTAAACGCTCCTGCCACTGGATGCAAATTGCTGCCTGTCTGAACCTATAGTTTCAGTGAACTGAGAACTTTTTTTCCCACTAAAACACAAACATGTGAGCGTAACACTGAGAGGCGTTCATTTGCTTTGTAAAACAATTTAATAAACAGCAGACAGCGGGTCTATGTGGGGAATCATTTTCAATTAAATCTCAGACAAGATTATAAGGGTTTTGCGTAAGCGCGTCAAGGTTTTTAAAAACATTTTCAAATCCAAAATATGCCAGCTAATGTATTTGTTGTGGATCTTTTTTTTTTTCCTTTTAAATAATCAGCCGATTTTGATCATTAAGAAAATAATAGCGTAAATTTTACAACTCGCAAAATATCACAATATGACACTTAAAAAGGTCTGAATGACTTCAGAGTTACAGGGAAAAAAAAGTTCTTAAATGTGTAAGTTTGTAACTGAACTGTAGGGTTTACATAAATTAAAATAAAAGTTTGTAAAATGTGTAATTAAAGATGTGATTTTAATTGCAGCACATGCATTTTTAAATGCCTTCTTTTTCCATAAAATACATTGTATATGCAATACGCACTACAAGAAGCACAAATGTTTTACTTTGGATCCACATTTGGAAACACTTTACCTGGATAAAATAACTACAGCAGAAAGAAAAACAGCATCCACAACTTGGCAGAATCATGTTTGTATGTATCAGGTGAGTGATGGACACTCTACGGCAAGCCATTCACTCAACTCCCCAAAACTCATACTCCCATGTCCCATTGTCGCTCTTAACAAAGCCGCAGGAAATGTAAGCCTGGATTGTACCTGTTTTCTATTGCCTTGCATTTTCATTAAAACCCCCGATGCTGCAGCTGTGGCCTCGCTGTTCCACAATGTGAACAGAGACTGCAAGGGCAAACATATGTGACCCACTTCTTTCAATCAAATAAAGTAGGCAGCTTTTAGCAACAGGTTTGAATCTAAATTGATGTTTAAATCCAGACAGGTTTGCCCACGTGGCTCTTCTCTGTCTGAGCTTTGTGTGTGTTAGGAATCTGACATTAAAGTTCCTGCCTCCATTGAAGTCCACGTTGTATTATATTCTATTGTTATTTATGCTGTCTGTAAATCCGTTTCGTTTTTAGCTCAGCATTGGAAATAAAAATGTACAAATGTAATTTAAAGCAGTCATTTTTTTAAAAACTGTTTAAGAACCAGCATATGTCCCATTTTGTTTATTGAATGAAAAATGTTTTCTGCCTCAAAGTCAAGCTCTTAAAAAATATAATTGTGTTTTTTATTAAAAACACAAAAAAATTACAGAAAAATAAAATGCACCCAAAACTGACAATAATGTAGGAAAATATAGGCAGAACAATATGACTGGCTTTTTTAACGCAAAGAAAATATAAGCCAAAGTTGTCACTAAAGATACATTTCAACAAGAAAATAAATTATTTTGGACAAAATACCAATCACAGCACTGCACTGCTGTACTCTGTGTATTATCATTGAATCCAGAAGATACTACCCTCTAGTGGTGAGCATGTCCACAGTTAATCTGTAATCCAAACTGATATTTAAAACTGAACAGATTACTGAAAATACAGTCATGTTTGTAATTCTAAAATGAATAAGTAAAATTAAACAAATGGGAAAGATGTCAACATGTATTCCAGATATGTAGCTGAGTGTTTTTCAAAACTTTATAGCTTTTTTAATGTTTTCTACAATCTTTAATCTAGGTCCAGCATTTTCTCCATCATTTTGCTTTTTTCTTGGAAAGTGTAGAGCACATTATAAACCAAGCGTTTCATTTTACAGCTCTGGATCAATAGGCAGCCAATACGGCCACATGTTAGGAGCAGAGGTTAAAGCATCATAAACAAGTCCATTTCAAATATCATAAACCAAGAACCTTTCAACAAAACTTAATCCTGACAAATGAGTTCAGGTTTCAGTGCTGTCTTGCTATAACAATGTAATACATCTGAGCAGACCGCTGCAGGTAACCCGCGAGGGGTTAAACACTGACCGGGTATCCTTGTGAATCTGTCAAATCACTTTACAACAACCTATTGTCAGAAAAAAAATAGGTGCTTCTGAATTTCTCTGCATTGTAAGGTTAAAGGGCAAGCTTTAAATGGTGGAATCAGAGTATTGACACAATAGGACCTGACAGTTTATTAGATGGCCTTGTGACACATTTGTTCCCTGTGCCCACAGTTTACCTCGTCTTGTTTTCAAGATCCCAAGGGGGCAGTATATGTAGGAGGCACCTATCTGGTTATATAGATCCCAACCCAGCTGAAAATTGATCTTTTCCACCAATATGGTGAAAGAAAGAGCTTTCATAAGATGGGCTGCAACAGCACGGTTCATATTTATCATGGCAGCCGCAGCTAGAGTCTGTTCTTTCTCTGTCTGCGACTCACCTTCTGCTCCATGGTGCCGTGGTCCGTAAAGGTAGCTAGGCCCACAGAGACATAACCAACAACAAGGTGCTGTAGACAAGCCTGACCCACACGCATGCAGATGGAGTGCAAGGTGTCTGGATGTACTGACGTCTGTGGAACAGTGCACCCTATGACCTCTGGCTGACAGGAGCCGTGGAGCTGGTCTCCACAGGACAGCATGGCCACCTCACCCCCTGGCTCCAGTAACATATCCACTGTCAGATAAGTGACACTTTCTGAAGGGGGATATGCCTCCACTACGCCACCTGGACAGAGGGAGAGCAGAAAAATGGCTGCATGCGCAAAACAAAACACCACCTCTTTTAGAGCACCTGAACACTTTTAACTAGCACTATTAAAGGCATTAAATTATTTAACTTGTCCTTTCACAGAGGCAACATCTAGGAACTAAAAATGGTAAATGGACTGTACTTATATAGCTCCTTTCTATCTTATCAAGATACTCAAAGTGCTTTACAACACCGTGTCCTCATTTACCCATTCATACAGCACTCTACTAGATCTATACAAAGATTAATCAGAGCTTTATCACATTCAGACACCGATGGGACACACGTGAGGCAGTGAGCGGTTCAATGTCTTACCCAGGGACACTTCTACATGTGACTGCTGGTGGAATCGAACTCCCATCTCTCACATTGGAGGACGACTGCTCTAACCACTCAGCCACAGCCGCCAAAAAGAAGGTAGGAAATACATACTGTACAGGACTGTGTCAGAGCTTGATAAAAAGTGTCTAACCTTGCCTGAGGAAGGTCTTCAGGAAGCAGGACCAACTGGGATAAGAGCAGGTTTTAGTAGGTTTGGCATAATGGGCCAGCCATTCTGGGATCTCATCTAAATATCTGCGAAATACAGTCTCCTACAGAAAAAAAAAAAAAGTTAAAGTGCACATATTGCATATCAGTAACATCAAACTGGGAACAGGTTTACAGATGTGGTTAATATATTAAAAATATGTATTTTACTTCGTAGGTCCCTATATCAAGCTTTGTAAGTGTTGACTACATTACTAGAACACCCTGGATTATCCAGATGACTCCAGTGACAGTTTATTATCCGTGAGATTGTGGTGACCTCTTCAGTTTCTGTGTATGCTGGATGCTGCAGGAGTGTGTATGTGTGAGTGACAGCCTATTATCAGAAGGCCTCAGGAGTCTAATAGCTTTAACTCACAGCCTCAAACCACCTGCCCTCAATAACAACTCTCCTCACTGGGCAGCTGATGAATACTTAAGCCAAGCCCATCTATCTGGGGATCAATCAGGGCTTGACTGGGATCGATATCACTCTTGTTTCTGTAACTAGGAAATACCATTATAGTTTCACCACTTAATTATGCTGTTAATTTTTAGCTTTTGCTTTAGGTGTCCCTTAAAGACTTTAGCGACTCTTTTTTTTTTCCTCCCCTCACGAACAGAGTTACTATCAGCACCTACTCTAAACCTTTCACTGTCATTTTTTTAATATATGTACGGTAAAACTACAACTGACAAAGTTAAATAGACTGTGAAAAGACTGCCTCCTTTAAATACAGAGTTCTGTATACAATAGTGTGTGTGTTCCACCATTATGCAAGAATCACATTTGCCCAAACAAAAGAAACTGCAAAATCTGGGTGAAAGATGAATAAATTCAGGATGGAGATAATATCTTTGTTCTTCTCTTGTACTATGTGGAGCGTTACTTTGTTTTGAGTATGTGCTGTTTGGCTTCACTGGAGACAGGACCAGAGATTATGCTGTTGATATTCCAGTCATGTAACAGCCATCATTATATTCAACTACTGTAAGAGGCGAGGTCAAATGCTGCACAGTGATTCCCTCTATACAAACCATAAAGCAGACAATGGTGCGGCAAAAAGTGTAAGGGAACGGTTGTCATTCTCAACGGAAGAGCAAGCTCACCCCAGGACTTTGCCTGTGCAGTTCACAGAAACAGCAGGACAGGAAGAAACGGAAGAGGGGTATTTTGCCATAAATTATTTGGACTTAAAGCGCGTACAGGGCTCTGTGAGAGGATTCAGCCTTTGCTTGGTGTCCACATAAAACTGAGGCAATCTGGCCATAAATAAAATGGATGCTCCCCCTTTTTTGATTTCCGTTTCTTGATTGTGCAGTGGAGCGATCCAGAAACTACAGTAAGTAAGTAAGTTTTGGGAAATATGAGGATACTGGTTGACATGTCCCGTGACCCAAAATGGAAGAAGCAGGTAAAGATAATGGATGGATGGATGGTTGACATGTTGTGTATTTTTCATGTTTTATTAATTTTTTTAAGAATGCCACATCAAAACTTTAATCTCAGCTCATGTATCATGTACATGTATTCTCATTTTCAGTTTTTTTTTTTGTGTTGTTGAACTCTAAATACAAGTGAGGCAACAATTTGTCACGATGTCACAAAAAGTATTTATAGCATTCAACAAAAACACTGACAACAGATGTTTTGAATTCAAGGTAATTATACAAAGCCAGATAATTAGAAACCTAAACTTTTTCATGCTATCACAGATTGCACAATATTTAGACAGACGACATCTGTATGAAATGTCCCTCCACCTCTTCAGTGGTAGTGATTGTCAAATGACCCATTTCGATGACGAACTTAACCTAAATAAGGTTTTCCTTAAGATCTGTTTGTACACAGCATGACGGAAAAAATACTCCATCTGTTGAAGCTATTAGGTGTAATTTTTACCCTCTTGTGCTTAATGATCCATATGCAAGCTGTGTGAGCGCTTAAGTGTGTGTATGGCCCCCTTCAGGCATTGCATGGTTGAAGATCTACATGTCTTTAACCTCTCTCTGTGTAAATGCTAAAAGAGGCCTGGGGGCTTTCTTCAGGCTGAAACACGGTGCTGGAAGCTGTGGGCCTCACAATATTAGAAGAGAAACACACGTTTTCACGTTTCTCTGAGGATGGAAGATCCTAATATTGTGGATAAAATAGCTCCTCCTTCATTTTGTGCACTTTTAGTCTTTGTTTTGCACAGCCAGGAAGAATGTAATTGTTGGTAATACTCTGAAAGACCACGTGGTATTTTTTTCTGAATCGTGCAATTTCATACTGAGCCTTTCAGAACAAGCAGTAGCTAAACAAATTAAAAATGTGCACAAACTAAGAACAGTTATTCTCTAATTTTCTTTCTGCCTTTACATTTATTAGCAATGTTAAAGAGCGTTCTACTCCACAGTGGACACTACACACTTAATTATTGCTTATTTGTTATTTATAGGTAAATTACTGCTGGCAATTAAATACCAATCCCAAGTGTTGAATAAATAATAAATAGTTTCATTCATGTAATGATTTGTGCTTGAATCCAGTTGTTTTTGAAAGCATATGTTAGAGCCTTTGTAGACCTTTAAAAACGTCCCATTTTCTATGTTTATTGCCACTGCAGAAAGGTGTGCAGATTGTTAACAACATGCATGCAATATTACTAATATTATTAATGTGCTAAGGCGCTTAACAAAATATCCACACTTTTTGCTGTAAGAAAATGTTAGTGCAAAAACAAAACCTGATCAACACGATTTTTTTAGTCATTTTTCAGCCTTAAAGGCCAAATTGCTGATTTCAGCCTAAACAAGTACAACAGATGGACAACTGAATGCATTTAATGCATTTCAGGGGAAACAAAGTCGTAATGAAAAAGAAAAGAAACCATGCAATGAGGAGCACAGGATGTGGGCTTTGCTTTGATTAAAAGAGCAAGGTGTAGAATAAAGGCCAGTTAAAGTGTTGTGTCCATATGGCCCAGAAGCCCCGAGGCTGTCGGCCTACACTGGGGGCCTCGGCACTCTTCCCTCTCCATGGGACCCCAGCTGGTGAAAGAAACCCCATTACTTTCCTCTGCAGCCTCAGCCACCATTATAGACCTTGGCTGTGGCTCAGCTACTCTCTGCCGTAATTAACAGCACCAAAGCTACAACAATTACTGCCCCGCACCATGCATGCCCTATGAATCAAAGAACCAGCTAACAGGAATAAAACAGAAAGACCCATAAGAAACTCGAGATGACTGCTGTTCTTTCAAATGGAATAAAAAGTAAAATCGTTTTGCTCCAAGCCCACAATCATTAGCCTGTAATTAGTTTACACAAAGCTCCCAGTTAAATGGCAAAATACGGTAATTAACACATGACAGAAAATCAAAGGCTACTTTGTAAGCATATGAGAAATAAAAGCCAGGTGCTCAGAAGTCGTGCACAGATTGCACCTGAAGTAAATGAATGGTTTAACACTGACTAAGTACATTTTATTTACACTCGATATATCTGACTGAGATTTTATCAGTAGTACATCTATCAAATATTATAAAGAGAGGAATTGTAAATGCTACAATTATATAATTGGCTCGGAGCTAGAAAACAGTGGACAGTTTTCTGCACCACCAAATAAAAAGTTTTACTGTCAGGTGCTCAAATGTACTTTTAGGACACAAGGCAGCTGTAAAGTGCAGCTGTGCAGAATAATTATAGTACATACATAAAAAAATCCTAGTTGTGTTTTATGATTAAATCAACAAGCAGAAAAGTTACTTAGAGTATAATCGACTAAGCAAAACTGGACATGCTTTTGTTTCCCCCCAAAATAAAAAGTTTAGACGTCAGGGAAACAGTTTACAGGGATTAAAAACTGCAAATCATTTAATAAAACTGAACAATGTTATTTTATCTTTCCAAGATCTTTTGTTTATCAAATGACTATAGCAAATCATGTCTTTCATGTACCACAATATTAAATTGAATAGTCACTTTATGATAATGATATTTGTTAAGTACTTAAATGTATCTGTTCTAGTTATAGATATAACAATTTTTCATTAGCGTTAGTGTGATATTGTCCAAAAAGCATTATAAATCTTCAATTTACTTTATAAAATCAGTACTTTGAAGGAAGCCATGAGAAGAAGAGTAACAGTAAAAAACAGAGTTGTGTCAAAAACAATACAAGGGAAAAAAAAATCTCATAAATTTAAATATAAATGCAAAAAAAAATCAAGCGAATATAAATAGTGCTTTTGTTAGAGGTCAAATATTTTATATGGAAGCAGGACAAACAAAATGATCTAAGTCATATTTTTACCTGAGTCCATTCTGAGCCCCATAGATCAGGACCGTCATGACGATAACTCTGCAAAGCCCATTTATAGCAGCTGAGATGGCAAACGTCGCAGTACGCTGCAGCACGACCACCATGTTGCAAGTTGATCTTAAAAAGCCAGCGTTGCATATTAATATTTTGAGTCATGAGCTCTGCTAGTGTTTCATGAAGCTAAAACAAAACAAAAAAAGATAATTACAACTATAATGTGGTATTTTTCTGTAATAAAATACGTGTATGTATTTGTGTCTTTTGGTGTCTTGCCTGGTTTAGTGAGCAGATATTTGCTTGACCAGGGGGAACATCAACTTCTGCCGCAGCAACAATCCTCCTTCCTCCGGATTTAGTGCTGTAGAGCTGTGAAACAGCTGGTTCTGGACCCAAGATCGGCACATCCAGCTCATCAGCCACTGCCAAGTCATCCATGTGGCTAACTCCGCCCACTATGTAGGCCTGATTCCCCTGGATCAGGTGTTTGATACGCTTCAGGGTGCGTGGACTGTACTTCAGCAGTGTAGACAGACACATGTTGTGGGTCTGAATGAACAAAGGGAGAGGAAGAGATGAAGGCAAAAGTTACACCTTTTCTGTCTTCTGTTGTTTCTTGACCTGATTTATCAGAATGTGCACACAACAGATCTATTATTCATAAAGCCAGCAGGGTTTTGACCTCTCCTGTATTCTAGCAGGTTGAATTGATAAAATCTGCCTGTGGGAGGCCTCTCCTATCCCTCACTTCTTTAATGTGTGCTACCAACGAGCTCCTTGGGAATACGACTAATTACTTCACATCTGTATTTATTTGATCCACATGGAATTATCCCTTCTGTCACTGGCAGAATGCGCTGCCAGCCACGGGTCGCAGCGATCCATCTCAGCAACACGTCTGGCAGAGTTTAACAACAAAACAGCAGGAAAATCAATAAAAAGAAATGAAGACGCCCGTGTCATGTTGCACTATCAGTCTAAATAATCCTTAATGGTAGATGGAATACTTTTAAGTTAAAATAAACCGGAGCCACTCCGTGTTTTTACTGCATGGAGGTGAAGAAGACAATCCTGGTGAAGCAGTAGATGTGAGGAATAGGTAAATAAACCAGGTAAAGTTAAATTATCTTCTGAAAGCCACCGCAGTAGCTCGTTACAAATGTTATAATTAAGTACGAACACTGTGTTTACAGAAAACTGAAAAATAATGCAGAAGTTAATTTCAAACTTAATAAGAAGCACTGGAAATGTGATGCTCTCATAGGAAAACTATATAGTACCAACCCTCTCTAGCCCCCTCTAGAGGGAAATTTATAAACTACAAGTGATCGTGCCCTTCCCGTGGCACAGGAGACCTCCTTACAGTAAATTGTATGAACACTATGGAAACACATGTGGCCTTTTATTACTTAAAATTTTATGCCTAAAAAATGAATACGATAAACCTTACAGGGAAATAATCTACAGCTTCTGGAGTTAGGATAGTAAAGTGTCTCTTGCTGTGTGAGGCCTGGGTGTTATCAGCTCCATCTGTGGCTCCATCACAGTTCAGAAGGCTGCTGTAATACTGCAAGATGTCTTCCCCCAAACGCAGCGAGCATACATAGATCACCTCCACATTATCATCTATAATTAACAAAGAGGGCTTTAGGAACTACAAAATTACAGTAAAGCAAGTCAGCTCTGAAGGAAGACTTCCTACCTCTAACGTCAAACAATCTGCTTATTTGGGCGTTCTGGAGGATGTCATATCTTCTCAACTTCAGTCGCTGGCTCTGAGAGAAACCTGTCACATTAAAGTCATGCGATCTTCTCAAACTGAATAAAAATGTGCAGCTCTGCAGCTTCAAAAACATGTCACTACCTGGGAATAAAGGAGTGAAAGTCTAACCAGACTATAGCAGTATTTTGATTAATTCAGCCTAATAACAAGCAGGTGCAGAGCCTGACGTGTGCTGCGAGTCCTTTTGCACCATGTCCAGCCACCACCAAACTACATCCTGCGACACCGCCAGGATTTTAGCCCGTGTCGGTCTGGATTTCTGCCTGAGAGAGAATCCTCAGCTGAATCAAGGTAATTAAATGATTGGATTCATGCTAATTAACAACAATGGGGTTCAACTTTCTAATTATCCTTGCTCACACAGCACTCTCTGTAGCCACCCCAAGTGCAAATAAAGCATTCCATCTGCTTGTAATTAGGCTTAATAATTTTAGACAATCGCTCAATGATTTACAATGTGCATGCCTGATTACAGTCTAAATGTGAGCGCTGTGGATAAATTAGAGCACGAACTGATCATAGCTTGCACTCTATGTTTAGCATAAAAACAGTGTGAATTTTTTTTCTGTTTTATGCATAGCAATCAAAGAAGACCTTTGTGGCTCTTGTAAAATATTCACCATAATGGCTTTTCATTTGCTTAATCTGCAAATTAAATGGCAATTGAGAGTAAATTGTTCAGCTCCTTGGCATGGGTACTGTCATCATCCAGTGAGTGCTTTCCTGCAGAGAGTCGTTTGAATGAGACAGAGTGTCAGCACCAGGGCCACAGACTGGGGCAGCAGAGTGCTGAGACTGGGGATGACTGCTTCTAGATCAAATGTGTGTGTGTTTGAGTGGGTGCAGAGACAATGAAAGCTACCTAATGAAGGGATGTGGATAATGGTCCTCTTGGACGACTGGATGTGTTTCCAGTTGGCTGCCAGATGCTGGGGACAGAGAAAAGGAGTGATCAGAGAGGAGACAGGCTGAGCACACACACACAAACACAAATCATCTCATCGCTGCATGGATAAAACACACCAAACCAATCTCTCTTGGCTCACAGAAGCAAACCAAGCATGAAATACCACCATAATTAAATTAAGCGTTTACTTTAGAAACATCTTCTTACAATTAATTTAATCAGCAAGGTACATGATGCTACTGCCAGGGGAAGATTAGCAGACTTAATTACCAGGGCATGAATGTTTAAAGCGTGAGAACATACATTTATTGCATGTATACACACACAGTGATGTTCCAACTAAATGAACTTGTAGGCACTAATTAATATTATGTCAGCACTCTGAAAGATGCTCAGGCCAGATGACAGCACAGACATCGAGCAAGAATCAATTTACACGATATTACACATCAAGCCCGCGACAGGTATACATTTTTTTGCAAAAAGATTCTAAATTGATCATAACAAAAGAATGGTAAATAGCAGAATATTTGAAATAAAAGAATGTATTGTATGTTTTGAACCTTTGTAAAAAGCAGCTGTTTGCAACTTAAAGGTTTGAATTCTAAAAGGTTTAATTCTCTTTTTTGCTCCTTGTCCATCTTTTCTAGAACGTTGTCTTTATTTGTGGAAGTATTTTAAAACATGTTTCTGTTCATCCCTAACTGGAAGCACTAAAATAAATAAAACCGTGGCAGGGCGGTGTTGTGTAGCAGCGTTTTATTTGTGTCCTTCTGTTTTTTTTACAACTATTTTGGAGCACTAAAAAAATTCACAAAAACTTCTTTATTTAAATACCTAGTATTTAAATAAATTTAGATAAGATATTACTATTGTGAATAGATGAGAATTTAAAAAAAAAAATTTTTTTTACAAACGACAACAAGAAAAACTCCTAAATAAATCAGTTGATAATAGGCCTGTCACGATAACAAATTTTGCTGGGCAATTAATTGTCTCAGAAATTATTGCAATAAATGATAATATTGTTTGAAATTTGACAATAATTAGTAATTACTGTCAAATTTAAAAAGAAAATGTTGTTTCATTTTATTTTGAATGTAGTACCTTTGTTGACCACCGGATGGCAGTATAAGACTGTTTGAACAGAAGGATGGATAGTGAGGGAGCGAGCAGCGTGTCTCTTTAAGAAAAATGGGAGGGAGGCCCCTTGACATGACATGGGCTGTCTCTCCTTCCTTTTTTTCCGGTTTTCAAAATGGCGGACGCTCGGTGTGGTTTGAGCTCTTTAGCATAGCATTTTTCACAAAGCTTTTAATAAAAAAATCAGTAAACAAGTTCTCAGCTTCTTTTGTCAGAGAAAAACAACTTTTTACACGAAGGCACGGGTTTCAACCGTGAATTTTGGAGTTTTGACAAGACTGAGGTTTTTTCTCGAGGTCGGTCTGTTAGCTTAGCTCGTAGTTTAGCTTCTCAGCTTAGCTGCTTTTAATGATCCAAAAACGCAATTTTGGACGGTTAAGTTGATTTTTTTTTTTAGAAAAGAGAAAAGGAAGGGTCAGTGAAGAGCACCGGAGTTGACCTTTTGTCATCCAGTGTCTTCAGTAGAAAAAGAGAGACCCGAAGAAACGATAAAGCCGATAAATGAATATGAGGTTGATCATTTTAATTTATCATACGATTAATTAATTTATTATTTATCGCCACAGGCCTAGTTGATAATTAATATGATAAGAAAAAAGACAAATCACCAACATTTAGATGTAAAAACATCACCTGTGCTCTCCTGCGATGGTTTTCTAACTGACTAAGCCTCCGTGCCTGAAGGGCCTTTTTGACACGACACCTCTGAGCGTGCCCCCACCATGACATTGCGATAATGTGTGCAGCCCACTTGCGCCGCAGGTGCCACAGGTAGGCCGTCCTGGCCAAGTAGCGCCTCCAGCAGGACTGTATAAGGATGGCGGCGGCCTCGATGCCTCCCTCTCCCTTGTAGCGCTGACCTGGGCGTGAGACCAGATCTGATACCTCCTCCTGATTTTCAAGCACTGATAGGAGAGTGATTGCTGACGGGGCCTTTCTCCAACCAGCATCCCAACTGTGACATACGTCCACGAGACGCTCTCCACTAACTGTAGCTAAAGGCACTGCAAAGTTCCTGAGAAGCTTTTTCAGGTCCTCCAGAGCATCAAACACACTGCCCCAGCACAATGTGAAGCTCTGCTTGAAGTGACAGAAATCAGTCGCCATCGGGTCGATCTGCCCTTTTGTGATTGTGAAGGGGTATCTGGTGATATTATCAGGAACTTCCACTGCCAGGTTCTGGAGAGCAAAGAGAAACAAATGAAAAGCTTAGAACAGTACCATCAAACGTGTTCTTATTACTTTATTTCATAAATTAAATTTAAAATCTATTCAAACTTCTTAAAGTGATACCTGAGGGGCTTTAGGCAGAGGACCGTCTGTGTCTTGCACCTCACACTTCAAGTCCATGCTTTTAGAGGCTGTGGATTGAAGCGGCGTCTTTGAGGTCTGCAGAGGTCCACATGCATCAACTTCTTTCACAGCATTGGGTTCTGAATTTGTTGGACCTTTTGGCTCCTTGTGGCACATGCTGTTGGATTCTGTTGGGTCAAATAAATAAATACCAGAGAGCAGTCTGGGAGTGACTCATAAATAATATCCTGTCATCCTCTCCAGTAAATCAACACTCAAAGTCTGTAAAGTATTTAAAACAAATTGTAATTAGTGTGATTAAAAAAAAGAGAGAAAACATAAATGTCTGACAAAAAAAAAAAATCATATTTTATAACGTGGAAGTCATTACAGGGTTTTTATGAAAGCAACAAAAACACTTAAAACTCAGTATTGGATATTTTCTATGAATATATTTACTAAATACATACTGAATAATTAAAAAACAATTGCAAATCAAAGTCATGCACTGTGTAAACTGTTGTATTCTGAGAATATTGAGTGCTAACCCGTTTTAGAAGAGCAGGAGTTCTCTCTGCGGTGAAAAGGAGGAGCGATGTGTTTAACTGATGAACGAAGAAGGCTCGGTTGAAGCGCTGGGAGCAGATTAAAAAAGTGCAAACAGTTGTTAAAACACTGGGCCTGTCATGGTTGATAAAAATAATAAAAATGTAAATGCTTCAAAATTTGCCACTAACTATAGGAGGTAATTGGGAGGTAGAGGGGGAAACAAATAAAATGATCAGCGTAACAGAACTGAAGTAATAAGATGTCAATCAACCTGTCTCCGTGTCGTCCTCAGTTCTAAACGAGGAGCGATGTCCTTCTGGTTTGGTGGCATGATGACGGGCCTCAGAGCGGGGGCTTTGTCTCTGATGGGAAACCGAAACAAATGTTTTATGGTTAGATCTTCCACACAAAAAAACAGCAATGCAGGTCCAGATACTGTTCAAATAATTAAATAAAATACAAAAATGAGGCAACATAATTATGAAATTTTATTTGATTGATAATATTGTTTTGCTTTATTTCAATCATTGGATGAATCTAAAACTACTTCAGGAATTCATATATTTATTGCAATTAAATAACTGTTAATCCCAACAGGCTGAGAGATTAGATACAATTAGTTTTTTTTTGTTTGTTTGTTTGTTACTTTCAAACTAATTTAAAAAATAGAGATGTTTGATACATGATTTTTTTCTGCCTTGATAAATAATTTTGGTAACTGATTCGATTCATTTATTAATATAAACTATTATCATTAACAATGATCTCTGCAACAGTGAAAGAAAACCTCAAAGTAATGGATTATTTTTACATCAGTACTATAAGTTTAATATTTTTTACACAAGCGACAATGAAATTAAAAAAAAAAAAAGATCTTGTCCCAGTTTAAGATCACGTGTTTCAGTTGCAGCCCCTGTTTTTCTGACAATAATCAAACTCAAACGGCTCACTTCTTACAACAACTCAAAGTTTCTTCTCTCCAGACTAATTTCCTAATGTCCTCGTGTTGTTCCTTTCATTCTCCTCAGACCACTGAGCACTATGACAGACCAGGGGTAGGAGCCAGGTGCTGGGAGATTTTCCCCTCACAGGCACACATCTGTTCCAGGCGGGGCTAGGAAAAGGTGCCACCTTTTGTAAAATTGCTAAAATGCAAAAAATCTCATTCCCTGGCACAGGTATGGAGCAGAAAAGAGCTGTGCCGAGTTGCAGAAGGCGGCAGCAGGCAGAGAGCCAGTGGTTAGCAGTTGGGGAAGCTACGGCTGTCTTATTGGCATGCTGGAACAGGTAGTGGATTCTGTCTTGAGACAGCTGTAAACCAGTAGCCCATAGCACAGCAATCAGGTGCCTGTTTCTTTAGAAGAATGCTGATGTGCTGCAATCTGCTGTTTTCCGCTTTCTGCAGCCAGAACCTCCATCTCTCCTGGATCAGAGTGACAGTCTTGGCCTCTATTTCTCACGTCAGGAGCAGATTACTAAAAACATATTGGCAAAGAAAATGAGTAAAATAAATCTAAAACTAATGCCGACCTTTGCGAAGATGAATTTGTTTGCTATGACAGAGGCTGGATGTCATCACTAAGTCAGGTGACCTTTATGTCACAGTTTGTCAGAGCATGAACCCGAGACATCTATTATTACAGACCTGCACCATCACTCTTCACTGCAGCATGAAGTGTCTGAGGAACAGGCAATGCAGAATATTTGTTGCTGTCTATCAAAAACTTTCTATTGATTTCTAGTATTTTTTTCTAATGCATAGACATGTATTAAAAGTCCTAAATATTAATGTACAAAAAATGAAATACAGTGAGTATTAGCTCATAAACAAAGACAATATCTGCTGGAACTGAGATGAATTTAGTTTAAGTTTAATACTTTGAGTAAATATTGGTGCAAAGCAGCAAGATTCATGTGTAAAAACTGAACCTACTACAAAATGATCACACAATAAATCTATTTTAAAAGTAAATTTAACACACGACATCTGTATTTACCACTACTTGCTTTTTAGATATAACAGTCATGATAAATGGTCATACAAAGTATCTTGAATAAAAAGAAATTAAAAATGAGCATTTATAAAAATCATGGACTCTAATGTTAACACTGAACAATGTGATTTAAAATTATTTCATTGATTAATAATTAAACGCATGCATTGTATTTTCTTGCCTTATTGTAATAAACAGTGGAAAACATGAAAATAAGCCCCCAGATCAATTTAAATTTGTGCAAATAAATAAATAAACATTTGTTATGTTATCTTCAAAAGTCAAATCTCACATTTTTTGGTATAAATTGTTTATGTAAGCAAGATTATACAACAAATGTTTAAATTAGATTAGATTACACAACAAATGCATGTTTAGCTAATGAAAAAACACATAAAGGTAAGTTAAATACAACACTAAGTCATGTACATCAAAGTTCATGCTCAATAATCCAGGTCGAAAATCCAACATTCAGTCAGGTCATCTGGACAGTTTCATATTTTTTTTTGTAGAGATGTTTTGTCCTTCATCCAAAGGACTTCATCAGTCCGAGGAGCCACATTAAACTCAGTCCCACAAGCAGCACTGTGGGGTTTTGGTCCTGTCTCTGTCTGTTTCCTCATGTTTCCAGCTCTCAGTGTTTTCCTCCTTGTGCTCAGTCCCTGTCTCACCTGCGTCATGTTAATCACTGCAGGTGTCTGTTATTTGTTCCAATCAGTGTGTGTATATTCAGCTTCTCTGCGTCATGTCTTTGTCTCGGGATTGTCCTTATGGTGTGTTTCTGCCTTCCGTCCTGTGTCCTGGTTATTCGTGAGTACGCTGCCCAGTCAGCTTCAGTTTAGTTTTTGTAAAATAAATACTTTTGATTTTTTTCATTGAGCCTCCTGTCATCCTCCTGCACTTGGGTTCAACACTTCGTACGGCAGAATACGACAAGCACACCCACATAGTGGACCAACCAGTTTGCTGGTGATAAGATGGTTTCTGGGGCCCGCCCTCTCCCCAGTCGATTCCTCTGAGGCAGCCATAGCCAAAGTGGTTCAAAACATCAAAGTTCATGCTCATTCATCCAGGTAAAAACTCCACCAATGTTCAGTCAGGTCATCTGGATGGTTTCTTTTTGTTGTTGTTGAGACATTTCGTCTTTCATCCAAAGGACTTCATCAATCCGAGGAGGCACAGCACACCCACATATAGTGAACCAACCAGTTTGCTGGTGATAAGATGCCCCCCCCCCCCCCCCCCTCGTCCCTACTGCACTTAAGGGACTCGATTTGTTTGTGGCTCCTCGAATTGATGAAGTCCTTTGGATGAAGGACGAAACGTCTCGACAAATAAAAAGAAACACTCCAGATGACCTGACTGAACTTTGTTGGAGTAAATATGTTACATATCTACAGTACGTTGATGCTAACAGGTCTTAAGAGATCAAAGCAGACTTCTTCATTTATTGAAATGAAAAAATGTTTATACTCTGCTCAGATTTCACAGAACTAACTCAATATTTTACAAGTATTATTTTCCTCAGTAATAATACTAAGAATCAATACATACAGTAAGTACAACTGGAATTGGGCTGATAACTAGTAAAGTGTTATGAACATTAGGGCCTCAGTACAGTACTATAAAAATAAATTACTTCAGTACAGCACTATAGCTGAACATTATTGTCTGTGAACATATTTTTATATTTCCCTCTAAAAGAGCATGTTTCAGATATCTAAAGAAAAACAGGTGCTAGTATCAATCTCTTATTAGGGTGGTTTAAAGACATTTGGAAAGCAACTCAGGTTTCGTAATTTTTTTACATAACGTCTCATGGATTTTGGAAATTTAGGAACCACATATTTCTTCAAGGCAGAAATGTGTTTTTTTTTTTTCCTCTGTATGTGCTGATATTTAACCATATCCACTTTAGACTATCTTCACTATTTTACTGTATAATGCACCAGGAAAACAAACAAACAAACAAACAAACAAATCAGGAAGAGTCTACCTTTTTCTTGGGTAAGTGCTTCAGAAGCTCCTTCCTTTGTGAATGCACATCTGGGAGACTCTCCAGAGGAGGATTCCTGAATAAAACCAGACCATAATCTCTATGAACAAAACTGTTTACCAATTCAACACATATATTTAAAGGTACAACAATTGACAGATTGTAACAAATATTCAAAACCCTCAGGTTTGTTTTCACTTACCATCTAGGTGTTTTAAGTGTCTGTGGCTTTAAGTCCTCAATGCTCGGAAGAATCAGCTGCTGCCTATTCACTGTTTTCAGAAAATCCTCAGCATGTTTCTGTGTGCAAGCAAATGGTGTTAAAAGACTGTTTGCAACTAGTTGGTTTAATGTTGGGTAGATGTAAATGTTTGTATCAGTGTGAAGCTTTCTCACCCTGATGCTACTGTGGGCCCTACAGATGCCATCGCTCAGGGCTTGGATGTCCAGAGTTGTGGCCCTGTCACTGACACTGACCTTCTCAATACTGCACTTAAGTTGTCTCAGATCATGATGAACCTAGAATATAAAATGTAAAAACTTAAATATAAAGTTTAAAAAAAAAAAAAAGACTTTTTATAGCCAGGTATTTTGTCAAGACAAGAATAAATGTTAAGGTTTTTAGTGACATTACCTGAACTAAAACCGCCCCCAGCTTTTCTAGGTTCTCGCGTTTGTCAGACATTTCCCATTAGTGGGCTGAAATTTTCATTATGCACAACAATATCATGACAGCCTGTCCCGGGTAACTACAGCTACTGAACCAGTGTGTTAGCAACATAGTTATAACTGTGTGTTTAGCAGTAAAAACTCGTAACTATGACGACAAGATAATGTGTTTTTTTTTTACCTGAATCTTGACTGTCAGGTGTTCACTCCTTCAGGCAACAAGCAACCCGCCAAATATCTAAATAATTAAGGGGAGGGGGGGGGGGGGTCTATTTTAATACTGTATTTATATTACTCTATTCAACTATAGTTTTTTTTTAACAAAATCTAGGTTTTTATTGTGTTTTTGCCTTTAAGGATTAAAAAGGGATACATTTTTCCCATATTAACTAGGGATTTTGATATAAAAAAAATTTTTTGTTTGTTTTTTTACATTATACTATTTGATTAAACGTCAAATCTGTGTTTGAAACAGTTTGTGTCGTTTATTAGTTAAGTTTTTCAACATGACGTTGCAACGGAAGCGACCATTCACCGGAAATCCGGAACTGTCAGAGTTGAAAGGTCAAATAAATAGAGTAGCTGCATCGTTAGCTTAGTTAGCAGCTAAATAAATTTAAAGAAAATGTCAGCGACGGAGGAAAACACAAGTATGATTCTTCCGTGTGTGCTTGTCACTAGCTGTGACTGCGAGTTTAAAAAAGAAATCTTGATAAAACGTAAGTTATCTAAACATCGTCTGCTCTATTTAGCAAGTAGGCTAAATGGCTAATGTAGCACAGCAGCAGGAAATGCTCAGAATGAGTGCAAAGGAATAATTTTAAATATTAATTTCCTGATGTGCTCATAGCAGTGTTTTACTTTCTATGTTGAGTATGATCGATGCAATATGAAATGGAGCAATTAGCTTAAACTGATATGTTTGCTTGCGTGTTTTATTTCGTTTAGAAATCCTCGGTTCAGAGACTTTGCCTCAGCCAGCTGAGCGAGACGACACGATAGCCTGGTACCCATGGACCATCAATAACAAATATTATACAGCAGATGTGCGACTGTGTGCTGTACCAAACACTTATGCGATGTCATCTGAGATCGCCCAGTCCATGCAGGCTTTTATTGCTTACTTTGACAGTAAAGTGGTATGTAATTTACGAACAATGTGTGCTTTTAAATGTAATTTACTGTGTTTTAACCGTCATGGATGGTGCTTGCAGAAAGATGGGCTGGAAAAGCTAAAACCTTGGATATCTGTGGTGGAAGACATCGCTCCAGAGGTGCTCATACTTGTGTGCGACAGAACTGATGAAAATGGTTAGTGAGGGGTGTTTGTGGATGTATAAGAAATTATTGTGATGTAATACACATAATATTACAATTTTATGTATTCGCCAGGCGTCACAAAGCATGAAGCACATCAGTGGTGTTTAGCTCATGCTTTTGAGCTTGTGGAGCTCAATCCACTGGAAATACCAGATGAAGATGGTGAGTTTAGCAGAACAGTCACACATGTTAATCTAGAAATCCTTTGTGATTTATTTTTTCTATTCTTTATTGTTGTCTTTTTAGATGACTTTCCAGAATCCACAGGCGTAAAGAGAATTGTCCAGGCTCTCAATGCTAATGTATGGTCCAGTGTGGAGATGAAGGATGGTAAATTAAGTTACAGTACATATACATAACTGAACTTTTATTATTTATTTGCATGTATGCGGGGCATGTGATCGTTTATATGTCTGCTTAACAGGGCACAATCAGGGTTTTGGTCTAATGAGCAGTTTAGTGGCTTCCAGACATAACCAACGCCGCTGCCAGGATCCACCAGTGAGTGGAATGTTGTTGTTTTTTTTATCACAACTTTTATTTGTATGGCTTTATGTAAAATAACATGTATAATTTGACTTAAATGAAACTTTGAATAGTAAATTTAGTTTTCAATTAAGTTATCCATTTCTAAATGATTGTTTTTGTGGAGATCTGTTAGTTAACCCAAGCTGTTTGTCAGTCCTCCAGTTTGCCAGCAGAGGGCACACTCCCTGATGATGCAGCCAGAGAAAATAATACAAAATGTGACAGAAAGGAGGAGTCAGTAGTGGGTAAGTATCTTTTGTCAACTGCTAAACCTGAAGTCCTTTTCCCTAAACTTAATTCCTGCTGCTACTATAATTAGACACGTACATGAACTGAATATTGTGTGTATTCCTGCAGATGCAATGACTGATTTAGACATACAGGAGCTTGCCAATCTCACAGCTGGAGATGCAGATGTGGATAATTTTGAGCGCCTCTTTACCAAATTAAAGGAGATGAAAGGTAATTGAGAAAACTCAACTTTAAAACTATGTTGGATTTTTGTTAGTATTTCTATTCATAATGCCATGGCTCATCTTTGATTTGATATTTTCTGATATATATTTTTTTATCCTGCAGATAAAGCTTCTTCATTACCTCATGAGCAGAGAAAAGTTCATGCAGAGAAGGTTAGCAATTTTATTAGTTGCAGCTTAAACATTTTTTGGGAAGTGTGAATTACTGACACTAAAATTGGATTTTCAGGTGGCAAAAGCATTTTGGATGGCCATTGGTGGTGATGAAGATGAAATAGATGGATTATCTTCAGGGGAGGAAAGTTAAAATCAGTTGCCTGTAGTTCCGTACTCCTGATCCTCCTCTTTCCTTCGCTCACACAAGAGTCTGCGCTGGTGGACGTCCTGCTCACGCTTGGAAAGTAGAGATGCTTACAGATATTGTAGGCATTTTTGTATTTAGTCCATTTGGATTCCTAAAATAAAATAATGCGTTTTTAAAACCTGATGGATATCTTGTTCAGAGAACCCACGAGTGTCTCAGATACTAAGTCTTCCTCTCTGGGTCTCGTTCTAGCCAGTGATCCTCAGTACATGATGGTGATGCAGGCGGATAACTATTTTGATGTCATGTTTGTTTGTAGGTACAGTCATCAGATGTTTTTTTTTTATATATATATATATGTGCCTTATATTGAGTTCTAAAAGATTTAATTCACATTTAGATGAATCAACATGAAGTCTTGTAGTTTGTTGTCTGTTTTTAGTGAGTAGTGTATTTATTGTGAACACTATTCCACAACATGGGTACATATTATATCATTTCAACAAAATGACTAACACTAAATTGGAATTCAATAAAATGAATAATTAAGATGATGTGCTGTATTGGGAGTGTTGTTACACTAGATTTATGAAGAAACAAAAAAAATGTAAACTATGTCGGCCTTTAAAAAAATAACTACACAAACTAAGATCAGTAAAGTTGAGCAGTGGTTGAAGTTTAGTTTATATTTCGGTTGTTTAAAGGATCCAAACGCAGAGAAAATATTCTGTTGCATTTTATTAGTTTTACATTTAAAACAATTGACCTCAAATATATATAAATATGTACGGTATGTACATAAGACTTGGAACAGAAAACACAGATCTACCAACTACAAAATGCACTGCAATACACAGTATTTCAGAAAAGCACCATGTTGTCAGTGACGTGGTGACTTGATCTTAAGTGCAGATTTAACGCAGCCACATTCGAACCAAAGACAATGAGCATATTCCATATGCGTGTAATGTTCATGTGTTTTACAAAGTTTTAAGACAAGCAAATTACTTCATCAGACACAAACGAGGTGCATCAAGCTGCATGGCGTGCTATATGTTTATGTTAACTCTTGGTAAAATAAAACCCTGGACATGTTTCAAACATACTTTTGTAAGAGGAACAATAGCCTGGGTTAAACCATTTGAAGTCACACTGGGTCTGAATTCAATCACCCCCCACCCTCTGAGGACTAACTACAGTATATATATTATGGTTCTATTATGAACTCAAAGTAATAGCTGAGACAGTAATCCTGTCTGAGTTTGGAGAACCAGCTGACCTGGGTTAAGAACACTCGATTCATCAGGACGAGTTTTCATTCATTAAAGCAAACTCGTTCAAATTCAGGCCCATGGCAGAGGTCAGTATTGGTAAGTTAATTTTTCTGAACATGTTATAAATACTTGCATATAGTCATATTGAGGCAATGATAAAAAAATAGACATTTCCATGCAGAACAATATGCAAAAATAACTTGTAAAATGTATTTTTCACTAAAGAAAATAGTCTTTAAAATGTGTTCTATTATTTTCCATAATGGTGCTTTTTATGTGTTGATAAATTTAGTGGTCAATAACATTGTTGATTCTTTAATTTATGCAAGAATAAGAAAATAATATAAAGTACTTTGTACTTAATAAATACAGTATACTTAATCATTACATATTTCTTTCTCAATGTACGTTTAAATTGAAACATAACTACCGTTTAGTACTTGCATGGATTGGGTCAAGGACCACGAATAGGACAATAACAAGTATTTTTTTTTAGGTTTGGTTAATTCATAGAATTAAAACAATGTAGGAAATAAGCTAAATCTATTTCATACACAAAAATTAGGGTAAACATTTCAATATTTATGGAATAAAACTACAGACTAAAACAAAATGTTTAAAAAAAACAATGAACAAAATTAGATTTACCCTCTGAATCTCAAAAATACCAGGTGGCTCTCACATCAAAACTGAAGACTAAGATTCCTAACGTGACAAAGTTACACAGGTTGTAGCTAAAGAAAGTGTTTTAGATGTCACAAAACTGAACAGGATTGAAGCTGCTTATATGGCTGAATATTTTTGTATCCCTGATAAATGCTTGATTTTTCCTATGCGGTTTGCAGTCGGTCGTGTGTTTGGGACAACTGTTCCTAAGACACACTGGAGCAGTGGATGCTGGGAGAACCCATTTGTGTGAGGACCTTGTCTAGCCACTGCAAAGGACCATTAAGATGTAGCTCTATCCAGCAGGGGGTACTGGTCACCGTCTGGCGTCTGCAGGATACAGAGATGCACAGGAGTCTGTTATTCCTTGTAAATGTCTTTATATTAATTTATGGTATACTTGTAACGTCTGTTAATAATGCCGTTTTTATTCTCATTCAAGTTACCAGTAAAACCAACTACAGGCTATTTGGTATGGTATAAAGTTTATTCATTTTAAAAAACAAAACAATTCCATAAACTATATAAAAAAAAAATACAAGAGATTTTAAATTAAATTAAAATTATTTCTGAGTATATGTAATATGTAAATGTCAAGCAGACAATACGTTCAGCTGAAGGTATTTCAAAATATTTACCTGTACTCTGCTCCCCAGCCCTTCACAAAACTCATGCGAATGGTGCACATCCTGGTGAGCTGGTAAACAGCCTCGAAGCCCTGATTAACTGACTGCGTGAGGAGGGCAGCGAACTCTTGGTTGTTGAAAATCTTTAGGTTGCAACCTGACAAAATGTTAACGAAATTAGTAACGCAAACAAACAACAAAAATCAGTGTGTATGATGCTTTAAAACTTTGTTATTGATAACATCTAGGTGAATCACTGTCAGACTAACCTGGAGGTATTTTGCACACAGTGGCAGGATGCCACCTATAGCGCTGGTTACAGTTTGGACTTTGAACAAAGAGGGCGCTGTCACTAAGACACTCTGCGAACACTTCTCCCCCAATGTAGTACAACCTCACACCTCGTCCTGGAATGAGAACATAGAGTAAAGCCAAGCACACAAACAAACCACTGATTTCATTACGCACAGTTATACCAGGCAAGTTAAATCAGAGGTTATGTTGTACCTATGTGTCTGCGCGTGAGCTCTACTGCCGAGTTGCGGTTGACGTTGGACAGCAAGCCCAGACAAAAGCGTTCAGAGTTGGAGGGGTCAGTGAAGCCATCGACTGTGAGGGAGGGCTGGGATGCATGGAAGGTCTCTCCAACACGCTGGTTCAGTTCATAGTAGGAGATGGAGCACCAGAAGGCCGACTCACAGTACGTCACAGGTTGCAAGTCTAGAATGACAATGATACGAAGAGACTCTTATAAATACAAGCTCAAGTTAAGTCGATCTGTGTAGTTTTTGAATTAATGAGCAGAAATGAATTGTCTCAGTCTAACAAATATCTCGTAGTTTTCCCAAACTTGTTAAACTGGCTGTGAATGTTTTGCCAGCTGAACAGTGAAGCATACGCCCCAGTGGAACGTGCCTGCTAAAGTCTCATGCACTGACTACTGGGATGGTGCACTGTTGTTCTACACGCCTGTTTTGAGATGATCTAATCTTACATTCTGGACTGTCATAAGTGATAACACAAGCCACACTGGTAAGTTACAATATTTAGAACCAAAACAGGGGGTGGGGGTTGAGGAATAGAAAGCAACTGAAAACATGTTTATCTAACAAAAGACCAAATTCAATATTTTGCAGATTGGTGTCACCGTAAGTGTTCTTGAGATATGAACAAATTGCACATTCAGGTGTGCAGTTTTTTGTTGTTTTTGGCTTTAAATCACACCCAGGAAACTTTGCAACCTATTAAAAATAAAATAAACCTTACACTGGAACATTATAATAATGATCAAAAGAATAGCACAACTTCTAGGAGCAAGCTATTGGAAAAAAAACTGTTAGACGTGGCATGACTCAAGTAAAACATAGTGAGGACAAACAAGGTCCTGAAAAACACTTGGTAGTACTTTTACGTGATTTGTAATTACACGTCAATACACAACTGAATATATAGTACTTGAAAACTACAACTTCATAAATTGAATAAAATGTTAAAACTGCCAATTGAAAAAAGTAGTTGCCAGCTCAAATTGTTCCGAGTTCATTTATCTGCAATAATAAAATGGTTAAGTCCACTTCAGGTTCAAATTTTAGGTTAATGCTCAAACTAAAGATAATAACAACGGGCTCGTCATGTGAGTTTAAAATATTGTAAAGCAGTTTAAAAAACAGTATCTCTACTGAAAGGATTAACACTGCTGCAGAGGATACATTTATATGCTTATATTTGATGTTCATAGTTTGAGGTGAAACCTAAGGAGTGACAGAAAGATTTTATCATTTTCACAAGGGTACGAACCGCACGCTGGGGGGGGGGGGAAGAACTAGTGTACGCTTTACAAAATAAAAAATAATGTTGACCGTTTTAGTCTCTCTCCATCTCAGTGTCCAGAGCAGAGCTCCACGCTGCACTCACTGCAAACAAACTGCACACGTGCACAGTCATCAGTGATCTCGCTGACCGCACCGTGACCCCAACCTCCCAGGGACTTTTGTATCTACAATCTTACTTGGTATTAAACGTTAATGTGTTCGGAGCGTTGTCATCATTGTACAGATGTGTACAACTTGGACACGTGACCAAACTCCTGGTTCTCTTTCCTCTCGCCATCGTGGGAGAAGTTCAAGTTCAAGTAGGTTTACTGTCATTTGCATCACATGTGGTACATGATGTGGAACAAAATTGTGTACACCGGGTCCATCCAACAATAGCAAAAATATAAAGTGTAAAATGAAACAGTAAATAAGGATCTAAGATATAAACTAAGAAATACTCTAAACACTAATAGTGCAAAACAATACGCCGAACAACAGCAGCACGAACATGAGTCTGTGTGAGTAGAGGAGTACAAATGAATACAGCAGTATGAGATCAGCAGCATGAGATCAGCAGCATGAGATCCGCAATCAAAGTGGCATCACAGTGATTTTCTTTTCACAGTGATTATCCTGGTTAGAGATTCACGAGTCTAAGAGCCTCAGGGTAGAAGCTGTTCCTCAGTCTAGTGGCTCTACACTTAATGCTTCTCAACCTTCTGCCTGAAGGGAGCGTGCAAAAAGTGTGTGTGCTGGGTGAGCGGGGTCCTTCATGATGCAGGTGGCTCTTTTCCTGCATCTAAATGTGTAGATGTCTGTGATGGTGGAGAGAATGACTCCAACAGATTTCTGTGCAGCCTTCACCACTCTCTGCAAAGCTTTTCTTTCTGCAGCTGTGCAGCCTCCATGCCACACGTTGATGCTGGAGCACAGGATGCTCTCCACTGCACACCTGTAGAAGGAGGTGAGGACTGAGCTTCCCAGACCAGCTCGTCTCAGCCGCCTGAGGAAGTAGAGTCTCTGATGAGCTTTCTTGATCAGGCTGGTGGTGTTGTTGTCATTCAGGTGTACACCCAACTACTTGTAGCTGGAGACTACTTCCACCGCAGATCCTCCTATATTGGGGGGGGGTGGGGGTTTCCGTCTGAAGTCCATGACCATCTCCTTCATCTTCTTCACATTGATTTGAAGGTTGTTCTTCCTGCACCAGCTCTCCAGATGTTCCACCTCCTGCCTGTAACTGGACTCATCGTTGTTTATGATGCATCTAACCACTGCTGTATCATCAGCAAACTTTACAATATGACAGCCTGGATGGGTAGGTGTGCTGTCATATGGGAGCAGAGTGAAAATGAGAGGGCTCAACACACAGCCCTGAGGGGAGCCAGTGCTGAAGGTTATTGTGGAGGAGGAAAAGTTGTGGATCCTCACAAACTGCGGATAAGAAGTCCAGGACCCAGTTGAATAGAGAGGGGCTTAAGTGTCTCTTTGACACTCGGTTTTGCTGCTTTAGTTCTTACAATTGAACAATACTAACACTAAAAGGTGAATATTTGTAGGTCCTAGATTGAAGTGAACATGTGCTGTAAACTGACACCATGAGTCAGTGGTTGTTCCCGGTGTGTATAAGGGGGAAAGCATTCCTGGTGGAGGGCAAACCTGTGCACCAATAACAAAGGGTGACATTACACATGAGCAACTTCATAGCTATCTTACTGTTAGCTTATGTGGGTTGCTACAATATCCAGTGTTTCCCCTGCCATTATACAAGAATATTATCTTGGTTCTGTCAACAGAACCGAGTGCCCCACATACAAAATCCTCTCCGGCAGACAGTCCTGATAATTCCAGACCGGGAAGTCTGGAAGTCCCCAGTCCACCAGTAAAAAAGGTAGGTTTAGTGGGAGTCATCATTTTTCTGTACGCTTCTGAAAGGCAGGAGGGAGGTCTCCAAAAAGAGTGTTTTGTACTCTTGTGAAAATGATGAAATCTGTGAGACTCCTAATTGAAATACTCATATTGCTGAAAAAGTTTTAAGTAATTGTTATGGAATGCAGCCAAGATTTGTTCTATTAAGATCTTCTTCTTCTCCTTCTTCTTTTGGCTTTTCCCTCTTCAGGGGTCTCCACAGTGAGTCATCCTCCTCCGTCTCACTCTGTCTTCTGCATCCTCTGTCTTCACTCCAACCTCCATGTCCTCTCTAACTGCATCCATGTATCTCCTCTGTCTTTTTCCTGGCAGCTGCATTTCTAACATCCTTCTACCAATATACGCACTGTCCCTTCTCTGGACATGTCCAAACCACTGTCCCTCCTCTGGACATGTCCAAACCACTGTCCCTCCTCAGGACATGTCCAAACCACTGTCCCTCCTCTGGACATGTCCAAACCACTGTCCCTCCTCTGGACATGCCCAAACCATCTCAGTCTGGTCTCTCTAACTTTATCTCCCAGTTGTTCAACCTGTGCTGTACCTCTGATGATCTCATTCCTAATTTTATCCATCCTTGTCACTCCTAAGGAGAACCTCAACATTTGTTCTATTAAGATAAATTGTTCTATTGTTGCAGAGGTGTAGCATTCTGTTAAGCAGCGCAAACAGAAAGTGTCAGGGTAATTTTGGTCAAGGTCAAGAAGCTTATTACTAATGTTAAATTAATGTTGAATCGTGTGTGTGTGTAGGTGTGTGTGTGTGAGTTCACAGTTCTTTTGCTCTCAGAGAGGAGGCTGCATATGCAGCCGAGGTCAGGCTGAACCAAGAACTGATAAGTGCATTATATAAACACCAAAGTTCATGCTCATTAATCCAGGTATAAATGGTTATTACATAAACTCTTCTTGCACACTGTCTGGTGCAGATACTCACAACTGGGCTTCAATGAAACATCTGTGTAAGCCTGTTGTGACTGTCTGTCCTTTTACGTAAACCTCTGTTAAATAATCTTCTCCTGTCTTCATGTGTGGCTCCTTTTGATAAATAAGGTGAATACAGGAGTTTTATCAAACACAAAAAACAGTGAAGCAAAAAAAAAAAAACTAAACATTTGTTACTGTAAGCATTGACGGTTATTTGTAATAGATCCTGCCTCGTGTGATTGTTGTGAATGTTGTGATTGTCTCGTGTGTGTTTTTGAACAAGATGAGTGCACCAGTGTTGACCAAGAAAGTCTGATCTTTTTGCGTACCAAGGTTTCCGTTAGTGGGTGATACAGGATTGGGTGACAGGCTGGGCGAACCTGGAAAACCAAAAAACAATGTTCATAAAGGGTTGTTCCCTGAGGATGATAGGTCTTTTTATAAAAGTACACGTTTTGGTGACGTCTTTAGTCATTAGACTCACTCGTGTCCATGTTGTGATTGATTTGATGGTCATTTGTCTCACCATCCTCACTTAGGTATCCTGGTGTAGGAGTATCTGCAACAAACAAAAACTGACAAAGATTATGTTCAGTCTCTTAATGAGCAATATGACAATTAAAGTCTGTCACTTTTGTGCATGTGGAAACAACAAAAACAAAGAAAACATAATTAAACCAGAGGGATGTTTCACCTTACAGACAAACTTGGTGAAACTCCTTGGTCAATCTGCACCCATCTTATTTCATATTGTTATTCATACATATTGTTTTCAGTAAAAGAAAGGTCCAAACAAAACCCAAATTGTCATTACTGCAAAAAGTATTTAGCAAACTTTAACTTAAACAAGTGAGGCACAATATCTCTCACCAGCATTAAAGTTGCTCTGAGGCTCAATGCCAGAAGGGAAATTGGTATTTTCAGGGATAGAAGATCTGTAGTCGTCCAGTGGTGGAAACTCAGCAGGAATATCTGTATGGCGTGGCACGAGGACAGGAGGTAAAACTGGAAACGCACAAAAAAATCACTTAATTTCTGTTTACAGTTTGATCAAATAATCCAGTAAAATGTCTCATTAAGCAATCAGTTCTCTTACTTGGAGTCTCCACCCTCTGGTAATGGTAGGGGTTGACACACACTTCATCCTTCTTGGTGTGAAAAGCATATTCACAGTGGTCAACGGCCCTCAGCTCATGATGGGACTGCAGGTCTGGCCAGCGCCACAGGCGACAATAAATCACATGAGGAAGACCTTTTTTGTGAGAGACCTGCAGACGTCCATCCAAAGACCTGAAAGACAGCGCAAACAAATCATGGTCCGTAATGTGATCCTCGTTTGTCTTTTCCAGTTTTTAAAACAATAAAACAAAATTTGAACTGGGACTGTAGCTTTGCAAAAGCTCCATAAAGACTTCAATAAGGATGTGCCAAAGGTTAAAGCATTGATGAACTGCTAAGTGTAACTTAACAGTAACATTAGGACAAAACAGCTGAAGATTTGCCAATTGTTTGACCAGTTATGTGTTTTTTTATATCTGCTCACATAAAGTTCCTTTTAAATCTGGTAACATAAAGTTATGATTAAATTTGAGAATACCATCTTTTACTCTAATTCATTGGGTATAATTAAAAACCTATCTGGTCCCTGCTACATTGTAAAAGTAGAAAATTTTATTTTTTTCAGTTTACTTATAACTACACCAAAATTCCAAAAATACATAATTTAAAAGCATTTCAAAGTACTTTTAACAATAATAACCTGGGTGGTCACTTGGACAAGTCAATATTACAGTAGCTCATCAATACAGTCTGATCAGTGGGGGGACCACTTCTAATGATGATTGTTCTTCTTCTTTCAACTTTTCCCTCTTCAGGGGTCTCCACAGCGAGTCATCCTCCTCCATCTCACTCTGTCCTCTGCATCCTCTGTCCTCACTCCATCTATCTCCATGTCCTCTTCAACTGCATCTATGTATCTTCTCTTGGTCTTTTTCCTGGCAGCTGCATTTCTAACGTCCTTCTACTAATATACCCACTGTCCCTCCTCTGGACATGTCCAAACCATCTCAGTCTGGTCTCCCTAACTTTATCTCCCAGTTGTTCAACCTGTGCTGTACCTCTGATGATCTCATTCCTAATCTTATCCAGCCTTTTTACTAAGGAGAACCTCAACATCTTCATTTCTGCCACTTCCAGTTCTGTCTCCTGTCTTTTTGTCCATGTCTCTGTCTCCAGACCATACATCATAGCTGGTTTCAACGGTCTTGTTAACTTTTCCTTTGATCTTTTCTGACACCCTTTTGTCGCAAATCAATCCTGAAACTTTTCTCCATCTCCTGCCTGGACTTTCTTCTTCACCTCTTTACCACATTCCCCATTTTCCTATACAGTGGACCTCAAGTACTTGAAGTCCTGCACCTTCGTGACCTCTGCTCCTCGTAGCCTCACTGTTCCACCGACCTCCCTCTCATTCACACACATGCACTCTGTCTTACTATGGCTGACTTTCAATCCTCTTCTTTTGTTCTCTTCTTTCATCACTTCTAATGATGACTGTTGTCATGTTAAAATTACTTGACTCTTCAAAATGCAAAGGCAGTTCTCGCAAACACAATTATTTTTATTTAGATGTTTACATCACGAACAATTTTGTACTCCATAGATATAACAAAACTATGATGCTACTCTTGTCAAGATTGACCCCAGACTGCAGAGAAAGTGTTACACCGCACTGCTGCTATTTGCACTCACAAATAACTAGAGACCGACTGATATGATCAGTACGGCCAATATTTTAGGCCGATATAGACGTTTGGAGACATATCGGTATCGATGATAACTCTTCCATTAGTGCGGATATAAGCACTTCTAATTTTCACCTCTAAAATGCTGGGAATCAGCTGTAATTGTACAATGTATCCAGCAGAGGGCGCATACTTTCAAGTCATGGCCGTTCACTATATGTTTCACATTCACAACAGTTGAAGCAGGGAGCAATATTGTGTAGCTGAACAGAGAATGGTAAGTTTATTTTAACTGGTCTGAAAATTAAATTAATAAATCAACAATAATACACGCTCTTCAATCCTCTAACCTGCTTGTCATTAGCTACGTGGCTCTCAAGTTAGAAAGCTCACGTTTAGAAAACCTAGCATAGGCTATTGCCTTTTAAAACTTTAGCTAGAACAATAAATCTAACGTAGCGGTAAAACATATCAGTGTAATGTTATCTTTGTCGTCCTCAATGAAATGCACTGTTTGTCTGAAATCTTTACTTCTCTGCAAAGAGAAAAAAAACCAGCCAAAGTCAATAGTAATCTGGCCTTCACTGACTGTTTAAACTCTGAACAGGGAAGGGCGTTTCTTTGTTTAATTTATATTTTTGTGACACACTTGATAACTGCATGGTGAATAGTGGAGGATAGAAAGTGTGAACGCATGTTAGGAAGACTGTTTCAAGACTTTGTGTTAAAACAGGTTTAAAAGTAGCTGTTTACTTAAATTCTTGGGGGTGAACAAAGTTAAAAAATCTTCAGGGAGTATTAGCATGCCCCTCCTAATATTGGTGTCGGTGATAGCCAAAATTACCATATCAATCGGGCTCTGCAAATAGTCAAAAAGCAATATATGTACTGGTATATATTTATACAAAATACATGGCAGTGTAAAGTTCATGGCTGCATACAGACTAGCTGTTAACTCTCAGTCCTGTTGGATGTAAACTCTATAAATGAGGTCATTCAAAAAGTTATTTACAACAGGTAAAATAATAATCCTTCAAAACCTTTCCACAGAACACAACTTTAAAATGGCCAAAATATCAATTTATATAATAAAGACATCACCAGGTTTCAGACATTCATATCAAACAAGTTCAAAAAATTTAAATATCCTAACGAACTGTAATCACATATCTAATCTAAACCCCTGGTTCTAATTATACAAAACTTTAGATGGAAGAAAACAGAAGGTGTTGTTTTATGTGGGGCTAAATTGTTTATATATATATATATATAAATAAAACAGCATTTAAAATTTTCTATTTATGCACCATTTATGCAATTTTTATTTGTTTTAAAGCAGATGACATGGTTAGTGGTTTAAATAAACTGAAAACCCTACTGGACTTTTTCCACAGTAAAGTTGATTTAAAACTGAGGGTTTTATTTTTATCAGATTCATTCATGGTATCAGGGATGCCCTTCTCCACTTCAATTGCAGACAGAACATTTCTCACAAACTCAATTCAATTTAATTTAGTTTACTTATATAGCGCTAAATCACAACAAAGTTGTCTCAGGGCACTTTACAGAAACAAACTCAGACTAGAAGACATAATATAAATTACACCAAAATATGGGACAGCTGAAGTGCTAAAGTCACTACACACACCATTCAAGTGTCCGATAAAACAGCTGTTCTTCTCTCAGATGGCAGGCTCAGAACAAACTGAGATTGAACCATAATCCAAAAAGTGGTCCACACCCTCCTTAAAGCTTGGAGCGCATTCCAAAGAACTGAGAAAATGCTTTAAATATAGGTTAATACCCATGTTCTGACTATGTAACATAACAGGGGACTTCCATCTTTGCCAGTAAGCGGGGCTTAAACATTGGCTGTTTGATTTGTTTTTTCTTTCTTTTAAATAAATTGTTAGGACAACAGTCGGGTGGTTGCTTCAGTACTAATTGTTACCAAAATGACCAGGAGCGATAGACACAAGACAGAAAAATTGTAAGTCTAAAGGATCAAAAACCTCGAAAGTCATTAACTATATAAATACTAACCATTATTCACAGTTTAAATTTTTAGTATACTGTTCTTCTGATTCTTTCCAGTGTCGTCTAAAAATCCCAGAACCCAATAAGTAACCTAATTAATCAATTCACAATGTTAATTCATAAAATAACACTACCAGTCTACACAATATTGTAATAGGCCATATGATTTCATCTTCAAAGTTTGAACAAATTAGTTTCTGTGAATCACCAGTATGTTTTATGGGGAATCCCACCTTCATCTAACTTTCCCAGCAAGAACCCCTCCAGTCTAAACATCCTCTGTGAGTCAGGGTTAAGCTTGGCCAGATTGATCCTCCTGTGCTTTATCACAAATGTGAGCTGTTGATATGTTTATGTACACAGAGTACTGCTGATATGTTTATGTACACAATGTACTGCTGATATGTTTATGTACACAATGTACTGCTGATATGTTTATGTACACAATGTACTGCTGATATGTTTATGTACACAGAGTACTGCTGATATGTTTATGTACACAGAGTACTGCTGGTGCCTAAACTCTGAGATGTCACTGCTGCTGTTTCTCCTATTGAAGGCTGCTCTTGGTTCAAAAGTGGTGCTTATGAAAATAACTAAAATAAAAAGCCTATTTTATACCTATACAGTAGGCTAATAATTGGATATTTTAATGAGGAAAACTACAAATGTACTATTTCATGAGGTTTTCGTCTCAAAACTGGTTAACTTGGATCAACTAGTGGATAGTGCTAAAATAACCAACAAATAATAGCTTTATAAATCCGTTCAGTAAAACAAAAAACTGTCCCTTTAAATACTTTATCATTTTTAATTAACACGATAATTTACAGTACAATGTATGCATTAACAACATACAGTACTTAACTGCTAATGTTAGCTCAATGTAGCTAGCCATAGCTAGCATTAGCATTAGCTCGGTGCGGAGCAGTCCGCTCCGTATCTTACCTGGGTATGGTTAAGCATTTGGTGCAGATATTCTGTGTTGTGATGGCTTTTTCCAGCTCGTCTAACTGTCCCGTCCTTTTCAGCTTCTTCACAAGACAGCTCACAGCCTTTTCACACCATTTCTCCTCCAGTCCGTTCTGCTCTCCTTTCTTCCAGCCGAGGAGCCTCTTAACGATCGGAGGAGTAAACGGTAATATGGACATATTGGGTTTCAACAGATTCATCTGTTTACACCGAGTGCTCTAAATTAACTTAATGCCCAGAGTTGCACAAAAAAGTTCGTCGTTTCTGCGGTAATGAGATCTGACGTCCGTGAGTTAGCTTGCTGGACTGAACTCCACAGAGACGGACCGCTGCCTGGGACTCAGGAGCAGCAGCGGCTTGAGTCGCAGCTTCTCCCCGGACCAGATTAGCTGTGAGTCGGCGGAGAGCAGCAGCAGTAGCCGAGCAGAGCCAGGTGACTCCCCTCCTCCAGCACCCCCACCGGTCAGCTGCTAAGCCCCCTGTCTACCCTGACCACCTCCATCAGCACTTTCCACTACCACCGCGGGCTTTCAGGTCCACTTTCTTAGATAAATAAAATCACTGACCTGAAAATATTACATTGCAACAATCTAATTCGTCCCCTTTTGTGCTACCGCACTAGCTGCAAAAACTATACAGTATAATTTTTTAAAAAGTAGAATTCCTTGAAGCAGTTCTTTTCATGGCATAAACTTAAACTAAAAATCATCTTAAGCTGTTGTGGCTGTTTCTCTCAAACTTGTGCGTGAGCTCGAGTGATGTGAAGTCTCGCGAGATATCACAAACCGTTATAATAGCGCTTGTAGGATCTCGCGATATCTCACTGCACGCTCTGAGCGTCGCGATAGCGCTCAGAGAATGCTTGGTATGACTCTCAGCTACCATCCATCCATTATCTTTACCCGCTTCTTCCGTTTTGGGTCGCCCGTGCCCATGTCCAGCAATCACTGTGCGAGGGGCGAGGTACGCCCTGGACAGGTCGCAAGTCCATCACAGGGCCACATAGAGACAAACAACCATTCACTCTCTCACTCACACCTAGGGACAATTTAGAGTTACCAATCAGCCTGACATGCATGTTTTTTGGTCTGTGGGAGGAAACTGGACTGGAGTACCCAGAGAAAACCCACGCATGCACGGAGAGGACATGCATACTCCACCCAGAAAGGCCCCCAGACCGGGATTTGAACCAGGGTAACCTGCTCGCTGAGAGGCAGCAGCTACCAATTCAGTTCAGTTTATTTCTTTAGCACCAAGTCACAACACAAGTCATCTCAGGGCACTGAACAGAAACAAGTTTAGCTCAACGTATGTGAAACCGAATGAGTTGGAGTCATTTTTGTGTTGGGTGATGTCAGTCAATCAGCTATGACGGCCATTTTGAACTGATATGACCCCCCCCCCCCCCCAAAAGCTCTAGATGTACATCCAGGGATGACTTTGTGAGAGTTTTATTTAAATCTGTCCAGTGGTTCATGAGATATTGAAGGATGTCATCAGAGATGTGTCACAAGTCTGAAAAGTGATCCAGCTCTTGGATTTACTGCGTCCACAAATAGAAGACCTTTTGATCCCCCATAAAAGTGATTTTATTTCCCTTCAGCGGCATCTTTTGAAAGCTGGATAACGGTGTTCAGAGGTATTTGAGATTTTATGGTATTATTGATAAGTCAGCCCCTGGCTGCTGTCTCCACGAAACAGCAGTGTGCCATTGTCATAAATATCTCGTCCAAAGACTTAACCCCTCTTCCTCTTTTCCATTTATAACCCCCATTTAAGCACATATTGGCACAGCGTCTTACTTCCTTTTTAAATAAATCGCCACTAGGGCCAACATTTCAGTGTAATCACATATAATAGAACATTAAAGGACACCTTCACAGCTCACTGTTGAACAGTCAGTAAGTAGCTCTGAAAATAAACCCCTTCTAAAAATATTCAGAACTAATAATCATAATTTTAATCCCAAATTTGATCTAATATATTTGTATATGTTTTTAGTAAAAAAAGGGGGAAAATCATATTAAAATCCTATTTTGCCTAATTATCGGTCCAACATCTTGTTATAACATGGCAGCAGACAAAATGTAAACATCTAAAATAGCACACTTGTAGATTTTCTGTTAATTCTATTCAAATACCACAACTGTCATTTTCAATTTATGACAAACAGGTTATGGATTGTCGCTGCAGGATCCAAACTTTTTTATGCAGGCTCTCTACCACAAAATCTGACTTTGCCATGAATGTTGCAGACATTAACAACCTCAAAGCTTAAAGGACTTTATTGTGTGCAGATACTACAAAGACGCGAGCGCTGTTTTTTATTGAATTGATTTATTCCAGAGCAGCACCTTTTACTGCATGGGAGAAGAGCTGGACAGCTGCAGGAGAGCTTTTGTGTGGGAGAGGAACGGAGCGTTTAAGCGATGTGTTTCAGACACTGAAGGGGGGCAAATGGGCCACGATGAGCCAGAGAAGGTCTCAGGAACAGATTGTTAAACAAATGCGGACAAAAGGCACGACGGCTGGCTGAATAAGTAATGGCTGCAAACAATATGATTGATAACAATGGTGCTTTGAAGAACCATTCACGGACTAGTGTGGGAAACCAATAAACTGGTTTGAAGGGGCCAAATAAAGAAACAAGTTGCTTAAAGACCACGTGGTTTGTGGAAATTTAAAAAAAATGACTCAATTTTTTCTACCATGGTGCAATTACAGCTCTGCTACAGGATGGATGATACCTGCCTGTATATTATATGAGTTAGTAGGCCACATTTATCCTTCACTAACCTGTAATTACTGAACAGCTGATTGTAGTGTTAACCTTACACATGGGTGTTTTTTACTGCAGCCTCTTGGGTGGGGTTCAGTCCCCACTTTAATCTCTCCCCCCTTTCTTAATCTCTTTTTATGCCACAAACTGTTATCTGCTGCTTGCAGCCATCAATCTCTCTCCAGACTGTGGCACCTACAAATCTGGGGCAGGAAGGACTTTGCGCCGACCCCAACCAAGATGCTCCTAAATCCTCCTCCTATGGCCTCAAAACTGTGAACAGGACCCAACTTGTTTCATAATTCGATATTTTTGGTTATCAATAAAATAAAAGCCTTTACAAGAAAATGGTTTGCACCAAATGTTATTAGTTGGCTGTAAAAGCTGTAAAACCTGGTCTGGGAAGCTCAGTCCTCACCTCCTTCTACAGGTGTGCAGTGGAGAGCATCCTGTGCTCCAGCATCAACGTGTGGCATGGAGGCTGCACAGCTGCAGAATGAAAAGCTTTGCAGAGAGTGGTGAAGGCTGCACAGAAGATGTTGGAGTCAGTCTCCCCACCATCACAGATATCTACACCTCCAGATGCAGGAAGAGGGCCACCTGCATCATGAAGGACCCCACTCACCCAGCACACACACTTTTTGCCCCACTCCCCTCAGGCAGGAGGTTGAGGAGCATTAAGTGTAGAACCACTAGACTGAGGAACAGCTTCTACCCTGTGGCTGTTAGACTCATGAATCTCTAACCAGAATAATCAGTGTGTGAGAAAAAAAAATCACTGTAATGCCACTCGATTGTTGATATGTGCTGCTGACTATCCATGCTGCTGATTATTTCATGCTGCTGTGTTCATTCATACTCATCTGCTCACACAGACTCATGTGCGTGCTGCTGTTGTTCAGCATATTGTTTGTGTACTCTCAGTGTCAGGAGGGCTGTGATCAGTCTTACATCAGGGAAACTAAACAGCCACTGGCCAAAAGGATGGCCCAGCACAGAAGATCAACATCATCAGGCCAGGACTCTGCGGTCTACACTCATCTCCAGGCCAGCGGTCACTCTTTCAGGGATGAAGATGTTCACATCCTGGACAGAGAGGAACGATGGTTTGAGAGAGGAGTAAAGGAGGCCATCTTTGTGAAAAGAAATCGTCCATCATTAAACAGGGGTGGAGGCCTCCGGGTTCAACTGTCCCCCTCTTACAATGCTGTGATTGCTAGTATCACTCAGCCCTCTGTGAGTAGTAAACAGCCATCAGGTGCTAATGATCCATTGTTAGGCTGATGGTCCTTCTTGAGCATGTGATCAGCTGGTTTTGGTTGTCAGCAGCAAACTGGTTGATCCACTCTAAGAAGGTGCTATTTAAGAGACTGAGCTGAAAACAGCACCTCAGACTGAGGAAGTCTCTCGGATGAGAGACGAAACGTTTCTATATTTTATTAGTTTTTTTTTTTTTTAATGTCCTGAGGACAAGATTAAACTTTTTTAGATTGTTTGTGTACTATTAGTGCTTAGTGTATTCTTAGTTTAGCCTTTTTCTTAGTTTATATCTTAGATCTTATTACGGTTTTTCTTTTACAATTTATATTTTTGTTGGATGTAACTGGGACCCTGTGTACACAATTTCGTTCCACCACATGCAATGCAAATGACAATAAAGACATCTTGACCTTGACCTAAAAGTGTGCACAAGAAACCACTGAAAAGGATGTTTAATAACAAACAAACAAAAACTAAACAAATAAACAGAACTAGATAAATTACATTTTTACTACTGTGACTGCTGAATAGAGAAGCTGAAAACTGAATTGTATACTGTATAAGCAAAACAACTGTTAACAGCTAAAGATCCAAAAAGTTAGCTAAAAGCTCAAAATAGAAAAATGCTAGTTAAAAGCATCAAAAGTTTAGCTAAGTGCTAAAAGTAGCAAAATGGCTAGCTTAAAGCTAAAGTAGTGTGAGGAAGCTAAAAGTAACAAATGGCTTACTAAATGCTGAATGCAGCAAATCAACAGTTAAAATCTAAAAGTAGCAGAAGCAGATTAAAGTTACTGAGGAAGTGAAGAGAGTTCAATGTATTTTTACTGGAAAAATATTTGTAAATAATATTAAAATGCTTAAAAAGTATCCAAGTTTATACAAAGAATATCACCCACAGGCTGAGTTGAACGTTTTGGTACGTGAATGGCTGAAATGTTTGACTGCAAAAAGAATGTACAGAAAAAACAAAGGGTAAACGCTGACTCAGCGTTCACATAACAATGTGTTAGTAAATTATCTAGACTGACCCTGGGTTTTTGATCAGTCAGAACCGGGTTATAATTTCATTATAATCCTGTCTTTTTTATTACATCACCATTTAATAATTATTATGACTTTATGAACCCAATTCAAAATTATTTTTAAAGGATCCATTATGTTTGCTTTGTCATTAACATCTTGGATCATGTCAGCCTCTATGATAAACATGTTATTTGCTCATTCATTCATTGAAAAATACTATTTTACATGTTTGCTTGTAAAATGAAATTTAAAAATTAACTTTAGTTGCTGCACCTTCTGAAACCCAGATCATGTCTGTAACCTCCTGCCACCTCGTGGCCAGATGATTCT